CCTAACCCTGAAAAAATGTGATTAAAAAAGCCAACTTTAATAAAGCCAAGAAATAGATGTTATCAATCAAAAAAGTGTCTTGACTTTAAAATGTTCAGAAAAGATACCGTGCACCTGTTAGATCACCTTGCAGAGTACATGCAGAGTCCAACCACGTTCCTAGCCAAACTTGCATTAGCTTTGCCTACGGGGTTAAGTTAACTCCATTTGATATGTCTACATATTTCTCAATCCATTATTATATATCATCCTTAAAACAAATGGTGCACACAAGTTGAACTCATAAGAAATCAAACTGAGTAATACCTAAAGTACTGGTAAAGCCTTTTAGCCAAGGTGCTAATTAAGCACATGTTTTAAACTAGCATGCTAGTCGACAGGCTGTCTAATTAGCATTATTGTATTAAACAACCACTGCTCAATCAGTAGGAAATATATATATAACAAACTCTCATTATTTGCAGTTAACATTTCCGGTTATTAAAAATCATTAAAATGTTACTAAAATGACTTTCTTACCGTGGAAACTGTCTTGCCGTTAGCTAGCCGAAGTCATTAGCATGCTATGCTAATGACTTCGGCTTGATTGGCGTTGCTGCTCGTCCATAGTTGCGCAAACAAGATAAACAAATAAAATAACACGCTACAAAAATCCCTTTACCGAACCGAAAACACACTTTAATAATAAATCCAACTTGTATGATTAAGCCAAGCGACGTTGCAAAATAATTAAGAAAAAGTTTAAGTGCAACACTACGGAGCCCTGGAGGGTTCATAGAGAGAAAAATAAATAAAACGTGGCCACGTTTTACTTTCTCGTGCGCACGCTTTAGTAACTCGTGCGCACGAGTTACTAAAGCGTGCGCACGAGTTACTAAAGCGTGCGCACGAGTTAATAAAGCGTGGCCTCGTTTTATTTCAATTGAGGGATTCCTGTCCGTGACTCACAGTATCTGCTGCCCACAGCTGTTTTATAGAAGGAAAATCTCTGCGGCACCAGTGGCCTGTACTACGAAGCAGGATTTGCTATTTACACTATTCATTCATGAAGTATGACGCTGCGCTGTCAGCACGCGTCTCCATGTTTGTGATTGGTCAAATGTTCCCGTCCCTTTCACGTGAGCGCGCTCTCAGCCGGACAGAGAAACCCTGGTTGATTTACTGAGTTGATAACCAGCTTCGTAGGACCGCTTATCGACATCGCGTTTGTTAGGGTCAGTTAAGCCCCTGTCACACTGTCCCGAAATTGACACCCGATGGACACACGATAAAGGAAATGTTCAAATTCGGCTGTGATCGTAGCAACATCGGGCCATTCGTGAGGGCATCTAAGCCATCGTATGACCGCCGGTGGAGTTTCTCAGGCTCCGGCAGCAACTTTGTGAGCAGCAACTTTGTGAGCGGCAACTTCGTAAGGCACTCGTGAGGGCATCTTGTCAAATCGTGTCATCTTCGTGTTATCATCGGTGCATTCACCCTCACTCTGATCGGGCCGAATGCCCGATGGCACCGATGATAACAAGATGCCCTCACGATGGCCTTACGAAGGGCACAATTGACACACGAATTCAACACGAAAATGAACCTTCGCAAGGTCCTTCGGCCATTTTTTGGCATGCCAAAGATTTTGCCACCGCTCACGAAGTTGCTGCCGGAGCCTGAGAAACTCCACCGGCGGTCATAAGATGGCTTAAGATGCCCTCACGAATGGCCCGATGTTGCTACGATCACAGCCGAACTTGAACATTTCCTTTATCGTGTGTCCATCGGGTTGTTTTATTGCACAACAAAATCATGTAAATATATTATGTAAATAACCCAATTTGTGTTCTGTGAAACTAAAAAGGATATAATATATTATTTTGAAGGACAGTTGACAGGAAGTTGTTACGGAGAAAACGTAATATTTTCTACATATAACGACGGATAAAGTAAAGAACAAAGTCTGAAGATATCAGTACAGTATCATAGTACTGTAACACAATTGTTTTTGGTACTTTCATTGCAGTTGTATGTCTTAAATGTAATGTAAATGTTGCCTTCGTGTGTGGTTCGGGGCCATCTTCGTGCGAAATTCACAATTCCATATTCGTGTGTCCATCGGGTGTCAATTTCGGGACAGTGTGACAGGGCCTTTAAGCCGGGTAAATCGAACATATCCAGGTCCAGGGTCTGTTGAACTGGCTTCGTCGTACAGGGCACTGGAGGCAGTAACGTGTAACTCAGCAGAATCTGAGAAGAGCAGCACCAGCTGCAAAGAGCTGTGCCTTTTACTGTTTACTTCACTAGAACTGCTGAATAGAGATCGAGGCTGCTACGTTTAACCACACACACCTATACACACATCGAACTGAGTATTCCCCCTCGCTTTATGAAGGAGATGTCCTGTCACCGGGGCGCATTATGTATGTGTGTGTGTGTGTGTGTGTGTGTGTGTGTGTGTGTGTGTGTGTGTGTGTGTGTATCCGACACCACCGGCATTTGTTTTCAAATTACCACGAACAGCACACGCACACATACACACAAAACGAGGCCACGCTTTATTAACTTGTGCGCACGCTTTAGTAACTCGTGCGCACGCTTTAGTAACTCGTGCGCACGAGTTACTAAAGCGTGCGCACGAGTTACTAAAGCGTGCGCACGAGTTAATAAAGCGTGCGCACGAGTTACTAAAGCGTGCGCACGAGTTAATAAAGCATGGCCTCGTTTTGTGTGTGTGTGTGTGTGTGTGTGTGTGTGTGTGTGTGCGTGTGTGTGTGTGTGTGTGTGTGTGTGTGTGTGTGTGTGTGTGTGTGTGTGTGTGTGTGTGTGTGTGTGTGTGTGTGTGTGTATGGGGGGGGCATTTGTTTATGATAGTATCGTTCGTTCCGGTGCACATCGAGATTAAGATTAAACACATTTCTTTCACTTGGGAATACACTTAACTATGGGGAACCAGATTTGTTTAAAGTACTGTTCGTGGTAATTTGAAAACAAATGCCGGTGGTGTCGGATACACACGAACACGCACACAGAGCGGAGCTGAGCACACACACACACATCATGCGCCCCGGTGACAGGACATCTCCTTCATAAAGCGAGGGGGAATACTCTGGTAGTTCGATGTGTGTATAGGTGTGTGTGGTAAAACGTAGCAGCCTCGATCTCTATTCAGCGGTTCTAATGAAGGGAAACGCAGTGAAGTAAACATTAAAAGGCACAGCTCTTTGCAGCTGGTGCTGCTCTTCTCAGATTCTGCTGAGTTACACGTTACTGCCTCCAGTGCCCTGTACGACGAAGCCAGTTCAACAGACCCTGGACCTGAATATGTTCGATTTACCCGGCTTAACTGACCCTAACAAACGCGATGTCGATAAGCGGTCCTACGAAGCTGGTTATCAACTCAGTAAATCAACCAGGGTTTCTCTGTCCGGCTGAGAGCGCGCTCAGGTGTAAGGGACGGGGTTAGCAACATTTGACCAATCACAAACATGGAGACGCGTGCTGACAGCGCAGCGTCATACTTCATGAATGAATAGTGTAAATAGCCAATCCTGCTTCGTAGTACAGGCCACTGGTGCCGCTGAGATTTCATGAAGTGAAGGAGGTTTTCCTTCTATAAAACAGCTGTGGGCAGCAGATACTGTGAGTCACGGACAGGAATCCCTCAATTTAAATAAAACGAGGCCACGCTTTATTAACTCGTGCGCACGAGTTACTAAAGCGTGCGCACGAGAAAGTAAAACGTGGCCACGTTTTATTTATTTTTCCCTCTATGAACCCTCCAGGGCTCCGTACCTCCAGGGCTCCGTACAACACACCTTTTGCTCCGGATTTTTTTTTTCTTCCCCGTCCATCCGGGAACTGTTGGGTGGTGGGTGGGTCTGAAGTCTGATGCTTAATGATCTCCATCCTTCATTAAAACGTGTGTTTGTGTCGTAATTTTTAATTTAGCTTATAAATAAAGTATGCCTACAACCAGAGGTGGAAGAAGTACTAATATCTTGTACCTAAGTAACATTAGAAGTACCGTAGTGCAGGAATACCCTGTAGTAAAGGTCCTGCATTGCAAATACTACTCAAGTAAGTACAAAAACATTGGCATCTAAATATCCTTAAGTGCCAAAAGTTCTCATTATACAGATTGGCCCATTTTCTAATAATATAAATAATGTGTTTGTATTATAATTGTTTATGCATTACTGTGTTTAGCAATGCTGGTAAAGGTGCAGCTAGTTTAATGACTTTGTATACTGCAGGGTAGCTTGTGAATGTACTCCAGGTGTAACTAAAGTCTTATTTATTGGTTGTATATATCACATCATTAATCCAAATCCGTAAAGTAACTAAAGGTATTACATAAATGTGATGGAGTAAAAGTACATGATTTACCTATGAATTGTAGTCGAGTATAAGTACAAAGTAGCAGAACATACTCAAGTAAAGTAAAAGTCCCTTAAATTAGTGTTTTTCAATGTCATTTTATAATATATTTCTTAATGTCTTTCATTTTTGTAAAGCACTTTGAATTGCCTTGTGTTGAAATGTGCTATATAAATAAACTTGCCTTGCCTTGCCTTAACATTTTACTTAAGTACAGTACATGAGAAAATGTACTTGGTTACTTTAAACCCCTGTTGCAAACGTTCACGGACTCCTTGGCCCACTTTGACAAAACTGTGGATGTAAGGGAAAGCTTTAAAAGTTAAAAGTTTGTAGAAATACCACATGATTTTAATTTCCCTCATCCAATGCACTCCCATCACCACTAGGTGGCGCCATCCAATTACAGTAAAGCACTAGTGGTTGCAGGTGGAAAGAAAGATGAGGCCAACCGCTGCATATTAACTAGGTTTAATATTCACTATTCGGTGCAACAGAATAAAAGGTAGAGACTATAGGCTTAGACTTCTGTCTGGTGTCTTTTATATTTAAACATTTGCCAAAAAACTGTTTATAGACATACACTGTACATGGGCGCATTAGAATCCACGACTAAACCACGTGATCCAACGCGGAAATCATACAAGCGAGAAAGTGCATTGGAGAAAAGACGAGAGGAGGAGTGGAGGTCCGCCTGTGCTGTGAGCTGCTTGCGATATTATCTCAGAATACCTTTATCTGAAACCCCTCCGTACCGACAGACAGTCCACAGACAGTCTGTCGTTGGTGTCGGTTACCTGGACGAGTGTCACCTGCAGGGAATAAAAATAAGGTAAGCGAAATAAAACTGGAAGACAACTTTTGAGCACTCACCTGTCGCGATAGCTACCCAGCAAACGTGAGGATTGCGTTGTTGTTTCTACTAGCATGTTACCGGTTAATAATGTTTAATTTAAGTAAATGTTTTTAACTGTTGAATATACATAGTATGTCTGTTACAAAAGTCACGTTATGTCATGATAATGGTGATTTGATCAACACTTTTACATAAGTGTTTTAAAATTCATTTTAAACTTTATTTGTATTGCATGAACAATTAGGAACTACAATTTAAGCCTTTGGAGACTTTAAATTGAGGCAATTGAAATAATTTAGTATACTATGATACATTGGTAAGTACTATAAAAAGAGATTTCACAACATGTTGCCAGATACCTAATATAAAAGGGGAGGAAATGTTTTTAATAAATACTTCTCAGCATATAACAATACAATCAACCAATAACTTACCAACAAATGACCATAACATTGATACACCCCTCTAAATCACTGAACAGTGAAACCATCATGTGTTTTGAAGGGCTGCTGTTTTACACAGTGTTAGACTTAATGAGCAGGGTTTCCCACACATAGACTATACTTGGGCGGGCCGCCCAGGTATATTAACGGCCGCCCAAGTATATTTCGCGAACCATTTAGGTTTTGTTTTTTTTATATAGGCTATATATATTTTTTTATTATTTTTTTTTTTATTCTTCCGTGACCACGACGCCATCTGCGATCGATTAACTTGTGGACAATGATCCCTCGCTTTCCGCCTCCTGTACCCAGTCCCGGAATGGCCATCGGGAGGACCGGGGGGTTTCCCGATGGCCTGGCCTGTTAAGTGGCCTGCCTCACACACAGGGCCGCCTTAATGCACGGGCTGACCTGGGCTGAAGCCCAAAAAAAAAAAGGTTTTTTATTTCGGATGTTTTTTAAAAAATGTTAAAGAAACAAAGTCTTGGCTTTCAGAATATGAAACTTTTATTTCCAAAATCACACAATAAATACATTTTTGAAGCTAGTAAAGGGAAGAAGACAGCTCTCCCTCGCCACTCTGCTGTTCCCCTCCCTCCGCTGAAATTATGAATGTAAGCGTATAGTAATCATAGATAACACGGCAGGGTCCGTTAGTTTGTTTTCATCTGATTTCAAATAAACAAAATGTCTTGGCTTTCAGAATATTAAACTTGTTTCGGCAAATTCAGATGATAAATACAACTTTGAAGCTTGTAACGGCATAATTACAAGCGGAGAACGGAGTAACTTGACGTCACAGCAGGCATAACAACAGCCGGTGTTTCTCGTGAGTGTTTTCCCCGGGAAACAAACACAATACACATAAACGCAAAAATACACAAACACGTATACACACACACTCGTGAGCTTCCCCCAGACCAGTAATTCAAACGAAAATATCTTCCCTCCGTAGTATTTTGATCATTTGCTCCGCTAATCAATCAGATCGATGGATTCCATTTTTCTCAAAAATGATGACTCCGAAACAGTCAGTGGGCACCACTTCACAGCCAATCAGAATGAGAATATATTTCACATGTGACTTATTCAAATTGCGAGCGATTGAGTGACAGATGAAGGTTGTTTAGGAGAAAAAGTTTGAGAAGAAAACATTTGAGAGTGGCGCTCGGAAAAGGAAATTGTTGAGGGAAAAGGAGTTTCGAGACAAGCAGCTATTACAAAAATGCCGAAGTCTACAGGTTATTTTTAAACCTGTAGGCCAGGATGAGGAGGAAGGACAGATGAGTTCTGTACTGAGCGGCAGTGGTGCCGGCCGTGGGGCCTCAGAGCCAAGTAGGCCGTCTGGTTCTGATAGCGATGGAGTAGCGGGAGAGGAAAAACAGACAAGAGGGACATTATCTGTTAGAGGAGATGGAGAGGACGGCGAGGACTTGCTAAGTGGAGGGGAGCCAACGGCAACCGAACAAATACATGAGGGAGGCCCGATACGTCACTCATCTGGAGGAGAGGACCAGGCGCGCGTAGAGCAGAGTGGAGAAGTGCGATCACAGAGCCTGCCGAGGCTATAAATGACTTTGATTTGTTGTTTAAATAGGGGGCCTACAAAACCGGGCCCATCAGCCCCAGGGCCTGATGGCAGGTTAAGGCGGGCTTGCTCACACAGGGTGACTGGCTGTCCACATGATGTGGCCTGCCGACATGGCCACTGTCATACAGATCATAAATCAAAGCCCTTGATTGGTCTCTGTGTGTCAGTCAAGCTCGGGATAACCTCAGCTCAGGTGAGGTAAAGGACTCTCTGAGTGTTTAGATAGTTAACTTAGTCTAAGTTCTCAGTGGGTCTCAAACGGTTTGGTCACCATTTATGTAAACACATATTTCCATTTGAGAGGGTAGTGATTAGTAAAATATGCATGAATAAATAAATAAAAAGGTAAGATACACTTTTAAAACGTGTTGAGAGCTACAACTAGTCTTTGCTGCTGCCTCAAAGAGGAGCAGGAGGGAGAGGAGAGAGACAGGAGAGGCTGATTCAGGAGCACAGACACACTCACAACTATAAATGAACCAAAAACAAATTAATAAACAAGTTTCAGTGTTTTTTTCATATTGGAAATGGTATGTTATTGGTTATGGCCATGATTTTATGATTATTGAAATGTATACAGTTCTGTTTAATATAGGTGTTTCCATAGATCTAGTCTCTTTATTTCCCCCTCAAAATGCACCAGATTGATGCATTTAACTCCCCCCCCCCCCCCCCAGAGGATTTGAGGTCGACCCCCACTTAAAATCACATGGATAGGTTCCTAAATACATTTATAAATACATTTATTTTTTTAAATAGTAATTTACATATGTTGATGTGTGGGTAGTAGATTTCAACTATAGGGCTATCACTATGGGCCCTGCCTGTACCTGTTCGCTCTGCCATCGCGTGAAGGGTCTGCTAACAAGCGACCAACAGAAAGGTTAATGTTGTTGCACGTCACCTCAACTTCCAATTAATAATGACTGATTATTAACAACTATTTTTTATAATGACCTTTATGAGTATCTCTAACCCAAACCTACAGTTTTTTTCTTTTTCTTTTCACATTTGTCCCAATTGGAAGTACATCAGACACATGTCGAAATCAACAGTAGCAAGACATGACAATACCTGGTATATGCGTTTTATTATGGCTAATGCAGACGGACAGCTGTTATTAACACTTACTCAACACTTAATATACTTTATGTTAAATATTGGGTTATATTTTGTAGGTTTTTCCAACATTTCTATATATTGTGAACACCTTGATAGAGTACTAGTAAGGTCAAGCAGATAAAAAACAATAGCAGATGATTTACCAGGTTGTCACAAAGTCAACAGTTTAATTGAATTATCTAAGTCCACCCCTGATTCCAGAATCAATTCATCCTTCTAAAGGAAAACGTTGCACATTTATGGTTTATCTAGTTTGAAACCTGTTGGATTCCTTTTTTTAAATGTAACCAGTTGTTACACAGCTCTCAGCAATATGTACTGATAGCAAGGATAGCTATGACAACAACAAAGAGATTGAATATTTGATAGACATTTTTCTTTAGCAAGTTGTACACAGTTTGGCAAGTAATGTATTTGATGTGACAACAATCCCCTAAAGTTTTTACATAAACATCTGTCATTGTGGGATACAACTTTTTCCCTCCACTTCTGGTGCAGTTCACAGGGTGTTCATTTGAATCTCATTGGTGGGTTTCTAATCATAGCGACCCATTTACGTGCCTTAAACAGCAGTGATATATCCTGCTGCTGAAAGTGGATCATTGGCTGATTCCAACCTATTCTCAAAGGATGTGACATTTTCTCTTTTCCATGAAGTAAGATCCTCTCCACCCATGTCGCAGCAAGAAAGGCAAAAACTCTGGATACTTAGTATTGCTGCATATTTGTGTTCCCACTCTTGCTACATTTGGACAAACCACAAGTGACATTTCTAAGAACAAGGTCAAACAAACTGAAATCAGGTTTTTGCTTGGCATAAAGAGTGATTCAATTCAAGACTGTAATACTGCACTCAGGAATTAAGTCAGTTAAAAGAGAGTATCTGTAAAGAAGCACACTAAAATGTTAATATCATGTTTTTTTGTATTGGTAACTAATAAAATAATGTAATCATTTCCATCAGAAGTCAAAGCAGTAGATAGACCGGCACTTTGATTCCTCTTTATTAATCAGAAGTCATCTCCTTTTTAACCAAGTTATCGCCTATTTCCTTCACATTATGCATCCCTAACAAGTGTCTGACCAAAAGCTGATCTCCTGACTATTATTGCAGCATTAGATTACATAGACTCGCCAGCTATGTAATGTGCTGCCATGTCGTTCCTTTATTCCCTGCCTCTATTTCAATATAAGGCTTCTCCCAGAGATTTGATGAACATTTTCCATCTGCTTCAGCCCCTAGGTAATCCTCTTAGACTGTGTTGTTGTTTTCCTTTAATGGAAGTCTCAGCCGGGAGTCTGTGATACTCCTGGGTTGACTGGTAAAGCCCAGCTGTGCTCTCAAGCTAAAACACAGGCGAACCTGGGGTCACGCATTCAGAAAGAAAAACACCCCTTACCGATATTTCCCCGTTTTATTTCAATCTCCTCATCAACCTTTATCTTCCACTGCTCCTCTCTTGATCTAATCATTGCCAATTGTTTCCCGTTTCTCCCCGTCTCTCCTGCTCTCTATTATCAAATTCTTCTCCCTCATACGTCTCCTAACTTGCTTTGCAGGGTTGTTCTGAGGTCGCTCTGCTGAGATGTCAAGGCTGTGACAGTGTGTGTCCAAGTGTGTCGGTACTGGAACAAGTCCTGTGACATGGCTGCCGCGAAGAAGAGTGAGTAATTACTTTGATGTACGGCGACATTTCAAGAACAGAGATCAAGGTTCAAGGTTCTTTATTTGTCAAACGAACATAGCTACAGTGTAGTTATGTCGATGGAAATCTAAGGTCACGGGCTTCTCCAACAGTGCAACACAATAATACAGATAAACAGACAAATATAGTGCAAGTAAATATTAAAAAGTAAATACAAAAAGAAAAATAGTTTAGAAAAAGTGAAATAAGAGTCTACATGCAATCTATTGGAATGATATATTAGATAAATAATTACTAAGTAGATATAGAGATACTTCTCCACAGTGTTTTAGTAGTTATCCCATCAGCACTATAACAAATGTATATTTAGATATGGCTTTTAGGCAGACGTGACATGCAGCCAGGGCTAACTGTCTCAGTATTTAGTTTTACGTTTCTGAGGAATAAATCAATTTAGTGACAAACATGTGCAAAATAGTTTAATAAATGTGTATTAGGGGAAGCGAGGGAAACAAAATCAGTCGACTTTCACTTAATCCAGATTTCCTGAGGACCCTATTCAGTCTCCATCTTCTCCATTTCACTGTTCCATCTCTGTTCTTGGACATCTGATTTGAAAATTAATCAGAATCCAACCCGTCATGCACATTTATTAAAAAATGTAATGGCGATGATTTGCAAAAATATGATTAAGGGCAAGAAATCAAGATTAGCTTCAAGATTCATATATCTTAAGAGCGGTTTTACAAGTATGTTTTTTTTTTTTCTTGTTTCTATATATACATGCCATTAAAAAAAGGTTGCATTCAAGGCAATATTCCAAGGGATTGTACATTGAGTGTTTGTGTTGGGTCTTCATGACTCAATATGCATACAGGCTTTATTTATATTGCTCAGTGTAGTGGTCATAGATTACTTCCTGTGTGATTAAGTCCTTCCACTATCCTAATGCGTGTAGCTGTATCCTTTAATCTGCTGTAGTTGAATTCAATTTCCTATAATCTTTCCCCTGGATTAAGAGTTTCTTTGAAGTGTTATAAAAACAAGGAAGACCTTTACTCCAGTATAAAGAAGCGTGATTGAAAACCCCACATTAACCTTTTCACCAGCGCGACATCCTGAGGGCTTTGAGGGAAGGATAATCAATCGGCTTAAAATTCCCAATTGATTCTGAACTTTCACTTCAGTTTCTTGGTAAAAGGCTGTGTTGACGCTGGTGAGTCAATGTCAGCAGATTTGCAAGTGGGTTTTGTGAAGGCAAGCACATTTATTTCATCAAAAGCAGGAAGGGCTCAATAACTGAAGGAAAGCAATACCTCGTACTGACTCATCACATTTTTGATCACTACCTTGAATATGCTTCATCTCCTCCCCAGTGGAGTATGGGTAATTGTTGTCTTCAAGAAATGTTCTGCAGGTCTTTGTTCTCTTAAGGTCACGCATTAAAAGAGGTGGAAAGAGGGCTTTGTCTATTGACTTGTTGTTTCTGTTTTCCACGTGCACTCAAATGTCACAGGAAGTGTTTGTTGCCTTTTTTACGGTATTAATACGTTGCCAACTTTTGGAGAATTTGTGTTATTAAGAAATCAGAGCATCAGTCTTTTTATTATGAATTTATGAAAAGAGATATGCAAAGGACGCACTTACACAAGCACATCAATTCATACAGATAATGTTGCTTTAAAGGTAGAAATCAAACAAATAAATCACTGTCTGTGTTAAAGCAGAGGCGAGGGGAACAGATGCAGAAGCAGGAATGTAGACCGAGATGGATTTGTGCAATAAGGCTGGCGAGCAGTGTGCTTAAAGTATAATTTAATCTGTGTTTTACAAATGCTTTAGTCCCAGGTGGGTTCGTTTTTTATGTTTTCACCAGCTGGAGAAGCGTGATTTGCAGTGGGAGGGAGATGACTTGAGTTTATGAAAACAGGAAGGAAACTGGGCCATTGTCCTTTTTGGAAATCACATGATTGAGCTGATCAACAGCAGGCCATTATTTTCATTTAATTTCAAACCTTTATTTATCCTTATGTTTTGTGATGATGTTTCCACTCTCCAGCCTGCGAACAATGCAGAATTAAAACTACATTTGGTAAACATTTTTGTCCAACACTCCAGTTTCTCCATAAATGAACCTGCACATTTTGGGTTTGATTAGTGACATCGTGGTGACAGGCAGGGTTAGGGTTCTGTAACAACCAGCACAGCAGAGGCAGATATCCTGACAGACAGATTAGTGGAGAGACAGAAGTGGAGATTAATCTGAAATAAGCCAGTTCAGTGGGGGGTTGCATGTGCGTACACATGTGCATGCTTATGTTTGAGGTCATTGGTCTGCTACTACTGTGTGTGTGTGTGGCCTAGCATTACTATACTTGTGGGGACCTAAATCTGTTTACATAGTCACGTGTGGGGACTCGCCTCCCTTATGGACTTGGTTAGGTTTGGGATTAGGGTTAGGGTAAAGCATGTTATGGTTAAGGTTAGGATGTGTGTGTGTGTGTGTGTGTGTGTGTGTGTGTGTGTGTGTGTGTGTGTGTGTGTGTGTGTGTGTGTGTGTGTGTGTGTGTGTGTGTGTGTGTGTGGTGTGTGTGTGTGTGTGTGGTGTGTGTGTGTGTGTGTGTGTGTGTGTGTGTGTGTGTGTGTGTGTGTGTGTGTGTGTGTGTGTGTGTGTGTGTGTGTGTGTGTGTGTGTGTGTGTGTGTGTGTGTGTGTGTGTGTGTGTGTGTGTGTGTGTGTGTGTGTGTGTGTGTGTGTGTGACACAGACGCCTGGCCCAGCTCCACTGCTGCTTTGACGTTGTTCAGTATGAATGCAAATATAAAGTTAAAAGTAGAGCTGCACGATTTGTAAAAATGTACTTATTGCAATTGATACTGATATTTCAACTGGGATACCGTTTGCTATATTAGAGGGAATGGTCATTTTTGGAACATTATTCACATTATCACTAGAGACTATGTTAAAAAGATCATGGTGTGATTAAAAAATAATAATAATCTGTTGAGGAACTGTACCAAACAATTACATCTGTAGATTACTGTTGGTAGTCTAGGACTTCTCGCAGCACATTTAGCAATATAGAATAATATTTCAACATGTTTTACCATTACCCAATATCGGGCTTACATTTTGGACATTGCTCTGGTCCAAATTGTGATAACATTTGTATAAATGGTGCATCCCTAGTAGAAGCAGCTGAAGGAATAAACATTAGTGATGCACTGAAATGTGCCCTTGACAAATATGTTTTTCCCGTGCAAACAAGGTTACCGCCAGCTGCTTCACAAATTAATAACCACAGTCACGACAATGAAGATGAGACGTGTATTTGTAGAAAGGCTCACACTGACGGAGAGGATGTTCAGTTAGACACGTTGCAAATTAAAGCAGCCTCTCTTTCTGAACTTCAAAGCCTTTTAACTCTTACCGCTGTACAATATGAAAGCCTGACATTAATAGGTTTAATATGACAGTAATTACAGTAATGGAGCCCTATTGTATTAACCTTCTTGGGTTCATTTAAAAAGCCACTTATAGCAGGAATGGAGAGCTTAAGTAACACTACCTGTCATGTGATGTGATGATGAACCTAAAGCTTAGTCTTGGTCTCTTGGTTCCGACATCAAGGGAAAACACATCCTTATCTTCCTATATTTTCATTCATGTGTGATGTTGCCCAATTGTTGAAGTATATACATGATACAATGCTCTAAATTGTTGAATGTTAAATCCTTAACCCAAGACCTGTCATCAAATACATTAGTTTTATATACTTATCAGTGTTATTTCAGATACCACTTTTGATAATTTAGGTGGGAAACTTAAAGGGGCCCTATTATGCTCATTGTCAGGCTCATAATTGTATGTTTTTGCTGCTACTGTGACATGTTTACAGTACATGCTTTAATGTTCAAAACGTTGGGATTGTAGCCTTTGCAGACCATTTACATGCACATAAACCTTTAAAACACACTACAGGAAAGGGAAACACCCCAAAAAACATAATGGGGCCCCTTTAAGTTGCTAAAGCCCATTTATGTGTGAGTTTAAAGCACGTTGTTCCATAAAGAAAACTCATTTTGTGATATTAACCTACCTTGACTCTTATTATCCTTTTATCTGGATTTGGGAGAGACTTGGGATATTGCGTTTTATATCTTATGATCAGTTCCATGATGTGATATTGTTAATATTGCAAGGTGTATCTTTTACTGCTTCAGAAATTGAACAACATATCACAATAACACCCCACACACACACACACACACACACACACACACACACACACACACACACACACACACACACACACACACACACACACACTTTTGCATTTCTTCATTGCTTGTTCATACAGTTGGATGTTGGAGCTTCACTGTGCACTGCTGAATGATGTATGTGCAGAGTTTGACCCTTGAAGGCTGTTTCTTCTGCTCTGAAATTGAATATATTTGTTACATATTAATAGAATTTTTGATTTTTTTTTCGGATTTGTGAATGGGAGTAGTAGTAGATGGAAAACATACCAAACACTAATTATTCAAAGTAAAGTATTTCATTGTATATACGGTAATACTAAGGAGGCATAGGCCTATATGATGATACGATTATTGATATTAAAAAAGTGATTTGTTTTTTGTCATTAGAAAGTTATTTATTTGTAAGCTCCAAATCCAAATGTTTCCCTCAATGGCCTTTGTGCCCTGGCATGTGGCCTTTGTGCCCTGGCATGTGGCCTTTCCGCCCTGAAAAAATGTGTGACACCAAAGGCCAAATGGCCTTGCCCCTAAAATGACGAAAATCCAAGCCTGCTCTACAGTATTGCCAAATTGAAAACATTGAAGAATGATCAACTTCATCCCTTTTTTATATACCCACCTTATCTGAGTCATAGTAAGGCACGAGTGTTAGAGCAATGTGTCATTAATCTAACACGTCAAGGCTTTATTGGCTTTACATTTTAGAAAAATGAAATTAATTAGGCTGCTATCAGTTCATCTTCAAGATAAATGTTAGTTATTATCTGTCTCTGCTCTGTACGCTTAAGTATTAAAACGGATGGCACCGGTTTCACCTGGGCAGAGAAAGTTAAATGATCTTCTTATGACGAAAATCCTGTGTTTGATATAAAGGAATATTTCTGGTCCAGAGAAGAAAAGGAAAGAAATGCCTCTGTCTCTATTTTTGAAGAAAAAGGAAAGTCATGTACCAACTTAAAGCTTTTTTGGGGGAAATACATAAAAGTATAAAATATCCCTGTCCCTCAGGTTTGCTAGAATACCACACAAATCTTAAGTGAAATAACCCAAATGTACCCAACTTTGGTTAATGCAGGACCTCATTACTCAAACTCTTAGGTAAGTGTTGCTCAAAGTAATTAAAAGTAGTTTTAACTTCAGTTTTGCTTTATCTCAAACTACTTTGTGTGCACCCTAATAACTTAATTAACCACGCTGTAATCCAGTCATCAGGAGTAAATGTAAATGAAAAGTCTGCTGAGCCCAAGCTTTGTTTTGCAGCCAGTGTTAATTAAAACCCCCATCTAGCTCACTAAATTAATAATGTTGAATCCAGATACCTGTTCAGTGTGGTTTGTTATGACACCCTGGGGTATTTCAATGTACCCAAGCCACAGAAGTAGAGCCAAAAGGCTTTGATTCAAAGTGGAGAAGTGCATTTGTATTTTTAGGTGCTTAAAAATCAGAGCTAGATGCGCTTGATTGAGCTTTGTCGATAGAGTTGGCATTAGTAAGAAAGGCTTAAAACAAAACTCAAGCATATTCCTGATTGGAGTACCCTTTTTAAGTATTGGACAAATCAAGAATAAATGAAAGGTTAACAAAGAGGATGATATAATAATCTAAAATATGGACAACACACTGGAAGAAACATTTCCCAAGATGTTCATTGGGTAATGGTATTCAAATGTAAGTGATGGATTAGTCCTGAAAAAGGTCAAACTCCATTAAAGGTCACCTATTATGCAAAATCCACTTTTTCCTGTCTCTTCTACATCAACATGTGTCCCCTCTTCTTCATGTCTCTTCTACATCAACATGTGTCCCCTCTTCTTCATGTCTCTTCTACATCAACATGTGTCCCCTCTTCTTCATGTCTCTTCTACATCAACATGTGTCCCCTCTTCTTCATGTCTTTTCTACATCAACATGTGCCCCCTCTTCTTCATGTCTCTTCTACATCAACATGTGTCCCCTCTTCTTCATGTCTCTTCTACGTCAACATGTGTCCCCTCTTCTTCATGTCTCTTCTACATCAACATGTGTCCCCTCTTCTTCATGTCTCTTCTATGTCAACATGTGTCCCCTCTTCTTCATGTCTCTTCTACATCAACATGTGTCCCCTCTTCTCCATGTCTCTTCTACGTCAACATGTGTCCCCTCTTCTTCATGTCTCTTCTACATCAACATGTGTCCCCTCTTCTCCATGTCTCTTCTACGTCAACATGTGTCCCCTCTTCTTCATGTCTCTTCTACATCAACATGTGTCCCCTCTTCTCCATGTCTCTTCTATGTCAACATGTGTCCCCTCTTCTTCATGTCTCTTCTACATCAACATGTGTCCCCTCTTCTCCATGTCTCTTCTACATCAACATGTGCCCCCTCTTCTTCATGTCTCTTCTATGTCAACATGTGTCCCCTCTTCTTCATGTCTCTTCTACATCAACATGTGTCCCCTCTTCTTCATGTCTCTTCTATGTCAACATGTGTCCCCTCTTCTTCATGTCTCTTCTACGTCAACATGTGTCCCCTCTTCTTCATGTCTCTTCTACATCAACATGTGTCCCCTCTTCTCCATGTCTCTTCTACGTCAACATGTGTCCCCCTCTTCTTCATGTCTCTTCTACATCAACATGTGTCCCCTCTTCTTCATGTCTCTTCTACATCAACATGTGTCCCCTCTTCTTCATGTCTCTTCTACATCAACATGTGTCCCCTCTTCTTCATGTCTCTTCTACATCAACATGTGTCCCCTCTTCTTCATGTCTCTTCTATGTCAACATGTGTCCCCTCTTCTTCATGTCTCTTCTACATCAACATGTGTCCCCTCTTCTCCATGTCTCTTCTACGTCAACATGTGTCCCCTCTTCTTCATGTCTCTTCTACATCAACATGTGTCCCCTCTTCTTCATGTCTCTTCTACATCAACATGTGCCCCCTCTTCTTCATGTCTCTTCTACATCAACATGTGTCCCCTCTTCTTCATGTCTCTTCTACGTCAACATGTGTCCCCTCTTCTTCATGTCTCTTCTACATCAACATGTGCCCCCTCTTCTTCATGTCTCTTCTACATCAACATGTGTCCCCTCTTCTTCATGTCTCTTCTACATCAACATGTGTCCCCTCTTCTTCATGTCTCTTCTACATCAACATGTGCCCCCTCTTCTTCATGTCTCTTCTACATCAACATGTGTCCCCTCTTCTTCATGTCTCTTCTACATCAACATGTGTCCCCTCTGTGGAAAGAGATTCTGAAAGTTTCAGGGAAAAAGATTCTCTCACTTTTTGTCCTGATCCATTTCTATAAAAACCTGTCTGAAAATGAGATTATCAGATGTTGGCCACTTTATGATGTCATAACAATGTTTTGTCTTGTGTAACCATTAGCCAATCAGCAACCAAGGTAACCCCCCCCCCCCCACCTTATCACCTTATCTCCTCCTAGAGCTCCATTGTGTTCTTTGTAACCAAATGTCTCTCAGAGGGGCGTGGGGAGGGGCTCCTGATTTTCAAGTAACAGACAGAGAATCAGCACAGAGGCTGAAACAGAGGGGATTATGGGATGCTGCAACGATCTGTTTGGTGTTTGAAGCCAAACACTTCAGAGACATGTTTTCTATATCTGAGACCTGTAATATATTGATGAAAAACAGTATAATAGGGGACCTTTAATAGATAATTGAATATAATCATCTTAAAAGTGGTGCTTGACGTTTAGCTTCTCTCACAATAGGTCTGGGAAAGTGAAGTTAGACCCAAGGGTTCAGAAGAAGTTTCCATTATCTCACACTGGGAGTAATGCCTGGGCTGGAGAACAATGAATATCAATGTGTCTCAGTGTCATAGGAGAGAAGTGAAACCTACAGAGAAATAATAGAGTGTTTAGCTTGAAAGCCCAAACGTCTTTATCTCCTTTGTTTTGACACTAGGATCCCGTGGAGGCGTAGAGGACCCGTTTTTAAAAGATCCATCTTTCTTTTCTCCAGGATTCAAACTCGATTAAAGCTGCCAGATGCCTGCTTTATCAACAAGGGAAGACATGGTTGGCCACTTCTGGTCATTAAAAAACCCAATATAACCAACGATGTAATCCTTTACCACTGTGACAAATAATCTAATTTGCTGAAGGAGGGCCCTTGAGTATACTGAGCAGGAATTATAACTTTTTTACTACCGAAAGTCTCTGCTGAACATTACACACTTTCTCTCATGGACTTTTTTTGTTGATCATATCTCTCATATCATCTCTGGTGAAGTTCCTGCAACATTTTTTTTTAAAAAGTCTCTTTTGCAGAATTTGTCAACATCCATTTATCTTCTTCGCTCCGCTCTTCAAATCTGTTTCCTTTCTTCAGTCCTATTGACACTTTATATGATTGTATATATTATTTACTGTATGTATGCATAAGCTTGTGCCTTTACAGGTCTCTAAGCATTCAGACAACACAGTGGATTTGATGTTTTCCTTTAAGTAGTGCTCTAGACCAGCGGTTCTCAAACTTACCACTGGTAAAAGAAATCCACTTTTTTTTTATCAAGGATTTTCGCAGAACACCTCATATGCAAACTGTAAAAATAAGTACATATATAAACGTAGTGTTAAAACGAGGTGGTCCGCGAAAATCCTTGATAATAAAAAGTGGTCCGCATAAGCAAAAAGTTTGAGAACCCCTGCTCTAGACTACAGCTATAACAGTGAGTTTTTGCTCACTTCCGACCTTCACTGACTCTTTCCTCTCATTCAGGTTGTGCCAAGACAGGAGGCGTTCGCTTCTCAGAGGAATCCCCCGCCGCCGCACACCCGACACATGTTCACTTCGACGAGAAGCTGCATGACTCCATCGTCATGGTGACACCGGAGGATGACGGCAACTTCATGGTCAAGGTGTGTTTAACCTCCAAAAAAAAAACACACTCGTAACAACTTTGCACGAGTAAAATATGTCCACATTTTGCCTACATTTCATATTTATTTATTTTACTTTTCTCCAAGCTTCACTTCCCTCAAAATGTCATATTTATACTTCATTTTAAGAAACACTGATTTCTGACTTGTTGCTGATACTCCCTGTATTCATCTTACAGAGCTGCAGTTCATTTAGTGTCCTTGCATTGTCTTTGTATTCAGGTTTTAATCTCAAAATAAATTGTTGTAAAACGGCAACAAAAAAAAAAATGTCTCTCCCAGATCAAGAGCACTCACAATCTTAGGAGTTAATATGATTTTAATGGAAATACTACATTACTACCTAGCCAAGTAATTATTTGGGCTACGGTTGAGCATATTTGGCGCAAGTTGTGACTTTAGAAAACTCATGGAGGGAAGTGATTTAAAAGCAATACATGAGACATAATGTCAGGCCTTACTCTTACATTGAAAGGCAATGTCAGTGCATAACAGGCACACATATGACTGTTATCAGGCTTTTCATGCAGCAAATAATTAACATGATAATCTAGACTTGATTGTTTTTATTGAGTCACACTAAAATACTGGATATCTTTATCCTCATTAGATAATGATCATCCTTTTCACCGACTCAGTTATCAGTTGGCATCCTCACATGCTCCCTTGGATCAGAAAGTGTGTTCTGGAGTAGTTTTCTGCCTACAGACATTATTCAGGTCCCATCTGCTTCATGGACACCATGTACAGCGGATCATTTCATCCAAGTCCATCTTCCTGCCAGGGTTATAATGTCTTTGTGGATCAGATTCAGAAGGAAACCAGGCAATTAAAAATGCCTGATATACTGTAAAATAGGGAAGAAAACATGAGCAGGTTTCTAAATTGAAACCCCAAGCCAAACCAAGCTATAGATGAAAACAGATTTGTTACCGCCATGGAATCGAAGTTTGAAACTTTTTCCTGAAAGTCTTGCACTCAGTCCTAATTAGAGGCTCTACTTCCCGATGTTCCACGTTTTTCAAGTGATGGATATAATATCAGAAGTTAACTCTTTGATGTAGCGGGGGGGTTAGTGTCCTCAGTGTCTACCACCACTGACGAGCTTTATCTGCGAAACATCCAGGAGAAGATTAAAGTCTTTCCTCATCAGCGTTAATCTCCTCTGTGGGCTATAATGGCACTGAAAAATGATATCAGACTCCTCATCTGTTCGCTGCTGTCAGCTCTTAAACCCTGCAGGGGCTCAATGGAGGAGCCAAGCAACGGCAACACAAGGTGGCGAAAGCTTTAAAAAAATTCCAAAAAAAATCAAATCATGTGGAAAAACGAAACTAATGTCTGTGTCTTTAAATTTCACATCAGTGTAATTTGTTTCAGCTCTGCCAAATTGCATTTCCCCGTGTGGGATTAATAAAGTATCTCTTCTTCTTCAGACTTCATTAACATGGAGGCTGCTGATGAGAGAAAGATGAACTACTCTTTGAGAGGTTGCTGTTTACAGATCTTTAATCCTTGTTCTCGAACAGTAGCATTTCTTTAGGGCTTTTACCTCTATGAATTAAGAGTGTTGTGAATTCATCATTTCACTTTTATTTACACTGAACATAGATGGAGTGAAATGTCTTGGCAACTGTTGTATTGATTACCTTTTAGTACAGATATCCATACAAGGTTAAATCTTTAATAATACATTCCTTCAAAACCTTATTATCCACTTCAACGCTAATTAGCAAGCATGCTAGCATGAGCATGCTAGTGTACTGATGTTAGCATTTAGCTTAAAGATCTGATGTGCCTCACAGAGCTGCGAGCATGGACACAGTTTAGTTTAAGGATGTTTAGTAAAGTAATAAACGATAAGTATTGTGTCTACAGCTGGATAATAGCTTCTTATCGTACTGATTTTAATATAGATAGAGGACCGTCAACATGTCTAACAAGTCATGGTTTTGTGGCGGCTGGCACACCTAGAAAAATGCTATGACTTTAGCTGACTTTGTTATAATTGCTTCTCCGTTTTATTAACGCTTAATAAACCTTACTTTGTAATTTCTCACCCCATTTCCTTCTACCTTTAAATGTTCTTAATGACACTCTTAAATGTTAATATGACTTCCCCAGGGTGAAGTGCACTAATCTGCCTAAATAGATGACAGACGCCTTCAGAAAGCTTTCAGGTTAGCCTTCCTTTTCTACTGTTTCTCAGTTAAACCAAAAGCCCAAGGGGAAGTTCTGTACAAGCTCAGTGTATCTAAGCTTTAAAACGCATTCAAAGCCAAATCAATTTGCCTAAAAGCTGCGTGTGCCCGTCATTTAAATGGACTACAAACTTGGCTGTGACCTTCACAGTTACAGAGCAGCCTGTCCGTGTGAGTGTGTGTGTCGAAGCTCTTGGAGAGTGGGAGCAGAGTGGGAGCAGAGTCTTTCTTGTCTGAGCCTCATTGTGGAGCTAAGGGGAGGGCTGCTGTTGCTATGGAAATGGACCGGGGGGGGGGGTGCACAGACCAAAGATGAGGTGGGAGTGTGTGGGATGGAAAGCATGCATGCAACAGCTGTATGAATAACAGTTTTGATGAAGCTAATTTGAATTTCACTGTGGTAAGTACGTCAAAACATCACTTTATACGTGGTAATGTTTCTGTGGGTGAAGATGGTCAATTATGGGATGCTAATGGACAACTGTCAGCGTTACAGAGATCAGCAGGAGAAGTGCTGCTGCAGTGGCCATTTCTGGTTGGGTGAATTAGACATGTTTATGATTGTGTTTTTGTTGGTTGCACATTAAATTGAATCGTGTTACTGTGAGTAACCTGGTTACGGGATAATGGATACAAGGACGTGAAGCTGCCTTCAGGAAGCAGTGCTATAAAATAAAAATATTAGAGAGGCTATACTGATGTTTTATTTAGGGTTAAAGCAACTCCTATCAACATTTTATGAATCTACTTTCTGCATGTATTGTGAAAGGCAGGGTACATAGTGACTAAACTACTAAGAATGATTACCTGTATTACCTGTATCTTACCCTTCCATACTCTTTTCAGCATTGTTTCTTAAGGAGTCTGTACCGACACCCTTTGTTTTGGGTCAGTCGCCCTGTTCTTGTCAGCGTTGTTTAGTAGCACCTTTTAAACGTTCGATAGGCAGGAGTTTACACTAAAAAGCACTGAAAAATCCACAGTATTGTGCTGTTTCGAGTAACTAGTGAACATAGGAGCATCTAAAGTTTACATGTAAAGATATTCAGGCCAGGAGGAGGTGGAGACCAAAACAGAGCTAACAGGAGCGTGAACATTGCATTTCAATAAAACAAGTGGAGATTCCAAATAAATGCTAATGTTGTTTCATATATTCTGGATGCTTTAATTGACAACTGTTTGCTAATACGTTCCTAACAACAACTTTGTCAAGCGGGTGATATGTGATTGTTGCGTTTCCAGCATAATTAGAGACAGCAACCAGAACACAATGTTTACTCACTACAGTCACTCTGGGAGTTTCTCAGTAACTCTGGTGTGTTTATCAAGTTATGCTTACCCTGAATATGACTTTAGCTCAAGTTAGATAATCTGTTTAAGATGCATGACAGCACTGAATTAAAATCACCATCTGGAGTCGCAGCAAAATACATTTTAAACTCTAGCTTTGCCAACAGCTGTAAACCAGAATGTATTAAGACCTCATAGTCAAAGGAAAAAGAGAGATGGCATTTCATATTCACTACTGACTGAATTCACTTGTTTAACTGGATATACAAGTTCATCAAATGTGTGGCATTTCCCCGTTAGTTGTGTAAATAATTGCTCCATTGTTTGGGAGGAACGATGAGCCGTTTGTGTCTCTGGGTGTGTCTTACTCCCAGTGTTACACTTCTTCAGAAATCAAGCGTTTGTGTCATCGCTCAGTTGTGCAATCGTACACAAATGTTAAGTAACTGAAATCTCTCATATCGGTTATTGCTTTTGAGTCTCTTGAAATGTGCCGTATAAAATCATTTAAAATACATTTGTCGGAGTCTCTTCTCAGTGTCTGGACATGCGTGGGACTATACAGAATGATTGTTTTTCTTGCAGTGTTGCTTCTCTTCTCACTTCATGCTGTTTGCAGCCTCTGCTCTAACTGGAGGTCCTTTGGGGCTAAATCTGCCGTTTCCAGCTCTAGGGGTTTTAGACTTATCTCTCGTCGCATGCACCTCCCTCCGGTCTCCTCCTCTCTCTCTCGCTGTGTCTCTCCTTTTTATCTCGCCTCCTGTGAAGCTTTCTTCAACCGGCTCTGTGATGACTCCCTCATGAATGTTTCTCTTTGTTTTACACTAGGCTACACATCACCAGTAGCATGGCGTGGGGAAAAAATTAGGAGAAGCCAATAATACGTCCTTTCTTTTGGGTCGGGGGTGTGGTGGTCAATGTAATAACGTAACCAGATGAGTGATTACAGCACCCGGTATCATTTTACACACATTTGTATCATACAGATGCAGGACTTGCACACGCCTGTTATCTAACCGACAGGTCCGCACGCACTCTCCAGCCCAAACTCTAATAAGCATTCATTCACAAACTAAATCAGGAGACCTTTAACGTTTTACGTTTGATTCGCTCCTTTTTTCCTCGCTGTACACAGCTCCAGTTTGGGCATTGGCCTGTCATCAGATTGTATTTGTTGTTGCTGCTGTAGCGGAAGTTTAGTACAATTATTTTTGAGTAAATACTCCAAATCTCCACCCTACATAATTGCACTTGCTTCAGTTGCTTGCTACTTTTTAACGGCGGTGAGAGTGATGCAGTGACGCTATCTATCTTCTATCGATTAGATTTATGATTCGAAAATTATTCCGACTGAACAAAACTTGCATTGATCTAACAGGTTCGTTTTCCACTGACCTTATTTCGAGCTATTTTCCGAAATCCCATTGCTCTTTTGTCGAGGGAAACCGAGCGCAGCTTACTTCCGGGTTTTAGGACGCGTCACTAAGTCACTAACACTAAGTTGATGCGATTTGATTGGATTGTGAGGCAAGGGAAGCCAGCCGCCTCTGGCTTCCCTTGGCATGGCCCTGACCAATCACAGGTTGGCAGGGGCATCACGTGAGCCTCATCTGATTGGTCAGTCCCTCAATTTTTTTCACCAAGGGAAGCCAATTTCGGCTGGCCTCCTCTCGCAACAGTGAGTGCAATCTACTGTTTCACCATAACATCTAGAGGGGCGCTGTTTCACTATTTGTAAAATACTCAATGAGAATGGGGGAGAGACGGGCCGGCAGCAACACAAAACAAAGAATTTCCGAAACTAAACGAAGTGTTTTTATTTATTTATTAAAATTATAACTACAATCCGAAAAAACAGGGGAAGCCTGGCTTCCCTTGGCCTCCAGGAGAAAACGCCACTGCACATCACTCCCCTCCCTTCACCTGTCTGTTGCTCTTTTCATTCTTCCCTACCCACTGTCTCCTTTTACATGTTGCATTGTGGTTTTTATGAATTGAAAAGGTGTGAATTGTTCCTTATTCAGTATCAACAAGAGACAGTGGGTGTTTCTCAATGTCGAGGAAAGCTGCTCCAGAGCCACTATTTCAAGCATACTACGTCATCGAGTGCCGCCGAAGGACTGTTCCAATGTCCAGCATACTTGGAATTCTACCGAGCCCGGCGTATTTCGTTTGGAGACATTTCGAGGCTGCACATGTGTAGACTCCGGGTGTTTGTCATGTCTTCCGAGTCACTTCCTTCAGAAGCTAGGCAAGAATCCTTCCTGGCATTCGGAAAACAAAGAGTGGAACAGGCTAGCAAGTGTGCGTCACATGAGAGGCCCCGCCTTACATTTTCCGCCACAGATTTGGGGAAATTGGTCCGTGCGCAAAGCATTGTGGGGATTTTAAGGACGTGAAGTCTACCCATGTGCAGCCTCGAAATTTCCCCCAAACCAAGGATGCAGCCTCTGTGGAATTCCAAGTATGCTGGACATTGGAACGGTCCTGCTGCGCCACTTGATGACGTAGCATCCTTGAAATATTGGCTTGGAAGCCAGCATCCTCGAGATTGAGAAACGGCCTCTGCGGTCTTCAAATCCCCACAATGCTTTGCGCACGAACCAATATCCCCAAATCTGTAGCGGAAAATGTAAGGCGGGGCCTCTCATATGACACACACCTGCACACTTGCTCGCCTGTTCCACTCTTCGTTTTCCGCATGCCAGGAAGTATTCTTGCCTCGCTTCTGAAGCAAGTGACTCGGAAGACACCAAGCAAGCGTACTTGTGATTGAGAAACATCCAGTGTTGTGTTTGGTTACGTCAGTTATTTCTTCTTTATTTATTGAGTTTCACTCCGTCACGTACAACCTAATGGATAATCTTGTATAGGGCCAATATTGATTTATTGGTTGATGTTTTCTTCAATTAATCAGTTCCCAGATGCAATGGGGAATTCTTTTTTTCCAACCAGTTGTCCCAATACCTAAGGATATTTAAAGGTCAGTAATAGAAATCAGAAAGAAGCAGAACATAATCACTTTCCACAAGCTGTGACCAGATAAATGATTGGTGTTTTTTCCTTCAAAAAAACACTGAAATGGTTAATCAATCAAACGTTTTTCTTTGCATCGACTTATCAATTAAAATCTCTCCATTTTTGTGACCATAAATTCCTTTTTAAATTAAATAATTTTTGATTAAATCTGGATATAATGTTTAACGGTAAGTGCTTCTTCTGGGAAATATCTGGAAAAAAACGTACGGCCAAATTAGAATGTCTCCTTCCTTTGGGTGCATGTTTTGGGTTGTAGAGCTTTTTGAGCGTGTCATCCTCCAAACTGCTGTAGAAGGTGTGACCATGAGTAAGATTAAGCTCTTGTATTACTTCCAAATATATCCACACGAGATTAGTATTATTGGAAGATTTTGGACTTGATTAAAATCCAGGAGCTCGCACTTGAATTGCCAATTTGGCAAAGGTGAGGGGGATTAAGATCACCAGAGCAATAACAAATGATTTCAATTAGAGGACTCTCTCAAGGAAAACTCTGCCAGTGCTTATGAGAATTACTTATCCATTTCCCTCATATAAAATAATCCTTTATTTATTGAGCCGTATTGGACTTACTCTATGCACTGTGAGGCCTGTTTCTCTCACTATAAATCCCTCTCTCCGTATGTCACAGGAGGATTAGCCCAAAGTTTGAGTGAGAGTGAAAGACGGCCATTGTTTTTCCTCTTAATCCCAACTCTTTCCCTTTCAACTCCCTCTCTGCAGGTCGGCTTCCTAAAGACGCAGCACCGGTATGAAATAGTGTTCACGTTGCCCGATGTCCCGGCTCTGGGGAAGGATGTGTGTCCAGCGCCAGTTCCCAGTCCACACCTCCGGATCACTGATATCACACCGGCACCGGAGGGTAAGGCCGTTAGAGGAAGATGAACAACTCACAAATAAACAAGGCAGAGTCCGTATACATTTTAAAGAAAGCATTATGAACACAGAAGAAAACATGCTTAAGTTAATACCATAGTTAAATGTTTGATCACATATACAGGGTTCTTACGGTCATTAAAAACCTGGAAAAGTCATGGAAATTCAAAATGCTAATTCCAGGCCCTGGAAAACTTTTGGAAAACAATATTTTTCCCAAAGTTTTGGAAAAGTCATGGAAATGTAACTAAAGTTGCATCAAATATAATTTATATTTTATCTAATCGCCAAAATAGTAATACTATAATGATAATAAATACTGTATTGTATAGTAATGAAACATCAAATGGCTTTTAACTGACGAGGTATTTTGCTGGTGAGAGATTTGAGTTGCGTTAGCGTGTAGAAGCTAGTAAGCTACTATTTGATTTGTTTTAGATAGGCACGACATGTTTCAGATGCAGACCTTATTTTCCTGTTCCATGTTCAAATAAACCATTTTCAGTGGTACGCTGAGAAAGAGTCATGTTTTTGGTCATGGAAAATTAGGTAACGGTCATGGAGACGTCATTGAAAATCATTGGTGAAAAGGTGTATGAACCCTGCATATAGTAATCTAATCAAATGACTCGCCTTGGATTCTATTCAAACTTAACAAACACTAAACTCTATATTACCGTCTGATAAGCGCTACCTCGGCATCAGGACTAAAGTGTTATCCCACTAAGACTACTTAACGCCTGAGCTTGCACCATTTTTGTATTGTTGTTGTTTTTTCAAATGTGTTTTCATGTCTTATAATTGCATTGTTGAGGAACCTGTGTTTTTACACCGTAGTTTTACGTTAGTAGTATATGATAGCACATTAAACCTTTTGAATCTTCTGAAGATAGGAAGCCTTGTCTGCTGGTCCAATCATGGTCTCTAACCCTTTTAACCTTTTGTATCTACATTATTAACTGCTAATGAAAGCAGGCATACTGTGCTCACAGTGGGGCAGTTGGGGTCAGAGGGAATTCAGCGCTTTAAGACGGATACAAACGTTTTTTACCTGAATATTGGGGGACCTTTTTACAGCCCTCGGTTGTGTCTGCAGTCTTTTTCTCAGGCAGCACAGATACAACTTCCTAAATGCTAAATCCAGGGCAAACAACAGTCATAGCTTTTTCAATCAGAAAGGACAAGTGAAAGAAGCAAAGGCCGCTGTTTATCATACAGAAATATCGTATCTTTGTAACTTATCATCAAACATATATGGACTTGCATTTATGTAACTTCTTCTACGTCTTTCCACCACTGCAAGAGGACGTATTTTATGCTCATTTTAAGGTGCATATGTGTATGTTGTGCCTCTACTGTGACATGTTTACAGACATGAGCAATTTGGGGATCAGTGTCTTACAAAACTACTCTCGTACATGCAGAGTGCGGGAACCTGGGTTCGAAACCACTGATCTTACAATTAGTGGACAATTTGCTCAGCCTTCTGGCATGTTGCATTTTGAGATGTTTTTGCTCCTTGATGTTCATTCAAGCTGCAAACAACACTCTTTTGTTGAACCCTTTTAAAAAGGTGTCTTAAAGTTAGGAGCTTTAACAAGGCAGGTTTTTTTCCCCTGAGTCGTATATACAAGACAACATTTATCCAGAGTGTAATTCCCAGAAACAAGTTAAGTATGAGCCTGTCTTTGTTGCAGGAAGAGCTGATGTGAAGTAATTCTCTCTTGTTGCACCATTATTCTGTTTAGCTGCGTGCAGGACCAGATGGCTGAGGATTACAGGAACAGACAGTGTTAGCTCAGCAACCCGTCTCTGAGGAATCAGAGAAACTAAAGTCCCTTTCAGACACTTTCCTGTGTTTGTGTTGTATCCCTGTTGTCGGAGGTGGTAAACCTTCGAAACATCTATTGTACGACTAACCTGGAAGTGTTTGAATCTTTCCCCCCCGCGTCACTAAACCTGCAGATTTGTGCCAAAGGTGATCGTCTAATGTTGCTTGGATTCGTTCCCCCTAAATGAAACTGAAGCAGGTTACTGACCTTTACTTCTACTTTACTGTAACACCCTTTATACCAGCGGGGTTACATTTCACTGTATATTGCACCTTATACTGTATGATCACATGTCACAAATAAAGCTGATTGATTGGTGGATTACACTCTCTCAGCTTACATTGTCCTTGTGTTTAATATATTCATACTCTTCTGTATTAATAATATAATACATTTATTTTGTAAGTGCTTTTACAGGTGCTCAAAGTCGCTTTACAGAGGTAGTAAAAAAAGAAAAGGACAACAATTAAATGGTAAAACAACAATCACACATTAAAAGCCAGTTTGAAGAGGTATTCATACGTTTTTATTCGGTTCTCTTTACCGTTTTTATCGTGTGCTTTTTCAGTTTTTATATCGTTTTACTCTGCAGGCGTTTTATTGTTTTTATCATTTGTTTCTTGTACTTTTACTCGTGTTTTCCCGAAAACCCTTTGGCTGGCTTTGGGGTATGACATGTGAGATATAAAAACAACCTCTCTGTTTACTTGTGTTTCTCTGTGTGTTCCCAGGAGGTCTGAAGGTGACGTGTGAGTACATGGCGCAGCAGGAGGGCGTTCTGTGTGAGGAGGTGCTGCTGCTGAGCGAGACCAACCAGGACGTCTGCGTTAAGGTCAAAGTTCACGCCAGAGTCATGGGTGAGGCTGCTTTACTCATACAAGTTATTATCTTTGCAACACACTGCAGCTTGTAGATGAACTCTTGTTATCTTTGTGAGCGTTCGGGAAGTGAAAGTGTGTTCTCATTCATGTTTTAAGGTTCATTTATTTCTATGGGACAAATCAGACACAAAGGCAATTACACATAACCGCTAAAAACAAAAAGAGAGTTCATAACAGAGATAGAAATGTGTTTGAAAAAAGAAACAGACTTTGTCAATGCAGAAATAAGTAGCACAAGTTTAAATTGGATATAAAAAGCTTGAGTGGAAACACCAGATACTACAATGTCAGTTTTTGAACTGCCCTTTCTATTTTTTTATAGTAAACTAGCCACAATTATTATCTAAAATGATCTTTCCACCGCTTGTTTCGTCCAACCAATCATCCAAAACCCCAAATATACAAAAGAAAGTAAGTTCAATTCATGAACTTATTGTTACGCACTGCTTCATAGTAATAATAATAACTTTCACAAGTATGGGCTTTGAAATGTACTTCAGTAAAAAGTCCCCATAACTAGCAGCTGTTTTAAAGAGTACCTGACCTCCCTTTATATTAAGAGAACAATAATGTCATTGTTAGCTAATGAATGTTTCGATGCTGAACAACGGCAACATGACAACGTTTCCATTGGTCCCTCTTCTTTAGAGAAGACCAGGAAATTATGGATACATGGATCGTGTTCAAATCAATAGGCACGCTATGACTCTAAATAATAATGATCACGCATCGAACACACATTCAAACTAAAGTAACCAGCTGTTTGGAAAATGTAAGAAGTAGAAAGTTCAGGTATTCGTGTTCAAAATGTAAGAAGTAAAAGTACTCCACTACTTCCCACCTCTGCCTGACACTAACATGTTAATCCCTGACCCAATCTTTCAATTTTCTTTGACAATAATTGGATCATGTTTTAAAAACGTACTTACTTACAGACTTACTTTGGCATCTGGTCGTTTCTCCTTTCAGTATTGAAGTGAGAACTTTGAAACAGAGCTCACACTATTTTAATTTGTGTGCTACTGCCTCCTGCTGGTGACTCCGAGTCAAAACCACTTCAACAGCACTTGTCACTAAATCAAGTTAATCACCAGCAACCCTTTTTAAAATAGATATGAAATGTTACTATTTAGATTAAAATTACATTCTTGTTTATGTCTTTGTCAATGAAGAAGCTCTCTGAGGCAATAAGCTCCTGCAATGAATGTGCATTTATTCCACTGAGACTGAATTAGACGATGCTATGTGTGTCAACAGATGGAGAATTAGGTGAATAGGTCGTTTGTGTGTCACCATTAATTCTGGCGTGCATTTACAGTAGTACAGCTATTGTGTGTGTTCGTATACGCATACATATGTGTTCTTGAGGCTGTTGTGTTTATTTTTACTCACAAACCGTGGCCTGAACATCTGTCCAGATGTGTGTAATTGAGGTCTGGATGGCGACCAAATCAAAGGATTAAGCTCTGCCTCTGCTTTTACTCTTAGCTGCTAACCTGCATTTAGATCAGTGACTGGATGAGGATGATATAACAGTATAATGACACTGGGGAGGGGGGGGTACGTTCAGTGTTGTTGAAATACACCAATACTGTATTGGTGCTAACTTTGGTGGGATACAAGAAGCGGTTAAGAAATCAATCTTTTTTATTATCGTTTATTACTTAATAAATCATTTTTGGGCAAAAACGATGTCCTCAAATTGAAGGTTTGGATGTTTTTTTAATGTTTTAATCATTGGTAGATTAAATAAACGCACTTTAAAGGTGCCTCTTTGGGCTCATGAATATTTTAAAGGGGCACATTCATTATTTTTTGTACAATACATTTAGCGAAAATAATTGGTTCATGCTGAAATGAGCTGTATGTATGTATGCAGCTCTAATATTTTCAAAGTATTTTTTCCACATTAACTATGCCATGTGTGTCGGCTGCTATTGCTCCCGGTCGTGGTCATAATAACAGGGGAAAAAGGATGTTGCATTGGCCGGGAATCGAACCCGGGCCTCCCGCGTGGCAGGCGAGAATTCTACCACTGAACCACCAATGCTTACATGCTACTGGCTGTACAGTAAACATATTTAAAAGCGAGCACGACCAATCACAGAGAGAGAGACCTTATTATTTTTTTTTCATTTTATTTGTAGTTTTAAAACATCCCACTGTGAAACCTGTGACCCGAGTGGTTAAAAAAAAGCTTCAGTGGATGTGTTAAATGTACTGTACATTTCTTATTTTAACGCCGACATGTCCATAATCACCATGACTGAGAGCTGAAGCAGTGAATCGGTGTGTCGCAGTAAAGAGGGAGCTGTTTTATCTCCCATTCTGATTTCTGTGATTGTCTATTGTGTTGTGCTCTGCAGAAGACGTGAGCACACGTGAGGGTAACGTGCTCCACTGGGGGAGGGTCTTATCCATGTAATCGGATACTTCCAGAGCGGAGGAAGTTGAGGGGGAAGGGTTGCCCTAAAGCGAGCGTCTCAGTCAGTTCCTTCTCCACTTCTCGCTGTGCACACTACATGGATTATCTTCCTGCAAAGTGGGACTGATCCTTATTACTACTATTTGCTGGTTCAATCCAGTCAGAATCACATGTTTTAAACCTCACACTCCTTGAGAAACAGGCTCTTAACTTGCATCTCAGCCAAGAGTCAGTGGCTCTACTCCAGAGTTTTTTGTCTGCCTACATAAAACGTAATCATTCCCATTCTTGCGTCCCTTCAATGGCGTCCTGTGAGCGTTCAGTCCCTATGGTTCAGTCTGATGAGTTTTAAGGCAAAACAGGCTAGATGTGAGACTACCAGCGTACTTCAACAGATGGACGTCAGAAACGTATTCCTCTCACTCCTTTTACAAAATCAGATGAGTCTAGGCTCTGTCTGTGATTTTCAGTTACTTTCCAAAGCTAACAATGACACATTTACACACAATTCATATTGGTGTATTGTATTGGTGTTTACATCTGTGCAGAGTTGAGAAAGTAGCAAGGATTTTACCTTCTTTCTACCTTCCTAAGTAAGAGTAAATGTGCCTCATTTGCCTTCAAATGTGGTCAAGTATAAAATATACCACTCTAGAAGTACCACAAATGTACTTAAATCACCTTTATTAGTATTACCTTAGACGGCATAAACCTATTGATAAAAAGTATTTCAGCCATTGCTATTATGGTTTGAAAAGTGTTTTTAAAAAAAACGTTCTGAAAGTGAATTTATGTCTCTGTGTCTCAGATCGTCACCACGGTACGCCCATGCTGCTGGAGGGGGTGCGCTGCATCGGGGTGGAGTTGGAGTACGACTCTGAACAGAGCGACTGGCAAGGATTCGACTAAAGATCCGGCTCCACTTCAACCCAAAGTACACACATATATACACACACACACACACATACCTGCCATCAGAGAAGTGTACACAAATACAGCAAAAAGGATTTAGTGCCACGCAATGTCCAAACAGTATGTTAATCAGCCCAGTGTTCAGTGTTAGATTCAGAGGAAACGTGCGTCCTTTACACACAAAAACATTCCTCAACTGCAACATCAACAACATCTGAACACAGTTTCCTCCTATATAAATAAACATTGATTGATTGATCCTCCCAATCCTCTTTTTGTCACCTTGATGTATTCAGTTGTACTTTCCTTACTGAGCCTCTAGAGGGCAGCAGCGCTCTTTGAATCCGATATCAAATCCCTTTTCACCTCTTCTCCTGACATATACACTGAATGTGTTTAAAGGTAAGGGAGTAAACAAGGGCTCTTTTATTCATAAAGTAGCTTTAAATTGACCCGTAGCAAAGGAATATACATCAAGACTTTGGTAGCTGAGCCTGTAATGTCTCTGTTTCACCACAAGGGGGCACTGCAGACCATCAACTAAAGATCCTTCAATCTAAAAGCTTTTTTTTTTATTGGACAAACTTCTTCAGTGTGGTCACATTTCTCCATTTAAAGTTCAAATCCAACTACAGGGCTTTTACACTGCTCTATATCGTTACCCCGAGACAACTTAAGTTACTGATTTTTTGCATATCCCAGGAAATCCCAAACAACATATGTGAACATTAGCAAAAATAAATAAAAATTACATAGAAAGAGAGGCTTTCCTCCAATAAAAACAGAAGAGAATATCGCTTCAAAACGCGCGTTAGCTATATATGGCATCTATTGAGCATGATTATGAAACATATACGTGACGTTTTTAATGAAGAAAGAAGAGTTTTGACTTTTTTTTCTAAATCTGATGTTTAGCGTTTATGTTTAAAAACCCTGCTATCAAACTTCTTTACTGTTTAGCTAAAAAGGCGTTGTTTTTCCCCCACCTTCCCCACAATTAAAGACATGTTCAACCAAAGCAACATTAACAGTTAATAGGTGTAAATCAACTGACAAATCTATCCTTAGCCATTCAGAAAACCTTTTTTTTTCAGGCTCTTAATTTTGATATCTCCGGGTTCTGGGGTGTTTAAAGGCAGCACTTTGCACGTTGGACAGGCCAAACTAATTGTCTACTAATTAAGAAAATAATAGTAAGATTAATCACCATTTTAAATAATCTTGCATTTAAGGCTTGTGGGTGGATTTGTCCAGCAGAGTTTGTGAAGGATTTATTTTGTCTTTTGTTTGAATTCATCCACAAAGCCTTCAGAACACTCATGTCACTCAAAGTGCCTTTCATTGTACCGTCCTGTCATTTCCCTTAAAACCCTGATGTTGTTTTTACCATCACATCCTCTCACACGGGAAAAACACTCGCACCAGCTGCCTGTTTGTTGACATTTCAGTGTTGAATCCATCTTCCAGCAGCTTTGCTCCAACAGGTGCTTCTGTCTGATCACAGTACAGAACACACAGAGCTGACAGGCATTGAGGATTCATTCAATTGCCTGTCAGCTCTGCCTAATTTACATTTGTGCCGTGATCTGGCTGCACTGCCGTCTCCAATTTCCCACAAAATCCTAACATTTCCTCTGTGAGAATCAACAGTTTTTGTTGCACCATATTGAATACATCGGCCTTAAAGGAAATGATTCTGTGTGTAACTTCTCTACATATTCGACCACAAGCTGTCGGTTTAGTTCAGATAAAATACATGTATTTGATGTTTGCTTGATAATGTCTGCTTTAATGTAAAACTGAAAATAGGTCACTGTTCCAAGAATGTAGCCGTTTGTCTTCTGTGGGTGTGATGTGTATTTTCTAATGTTGAAAATAAATAAAAAAGTGTGTATGAGTTTGAGTTTTGTCACTTATTGCGGCTTGTGTCAGTTCATGGCAGGAACACTTGGCGGCAGTCTGCACCGCTTCACCTTCACACAATATACTCTCATGTGGCTCCAGAAGAGATTATAATAATATTAAAATACATTTCTGATTAATGTGAGGCTCTTTCATTTGGGTTTATTACAAGATTAACTGGTCTACATATTAAAACTGTTTAAACGTCTTAAAAATGTAATTCAAGAGCTTAAAAACTCTACAAAACCTCATTGTCATTGACCTTCTGTTTGCTAAGTTCCTGTACTAGAGTGAGGTAAGAAATCTGTCATTTACTTTTCTATTTTAGTGTGTATAAATCTGAATTGTTCACCTAAATATTAACTTAAAATAATATTTAAGATCACTCCAAATCCTTTTGTTAGTTTTATTAAAAGTCTTATGTACTAAAATGTGTTTTCCTTGTATATGTTATCTTCCAATATCTTAAATGTTTAAATTCATTTTGGACTTCTTTGTGGTTTTACACATTGTAAAACACATTTTGAGTGCAGAGCATTTGCTTCTAATATGCATGTATTGCACTTTTCATTTTGTATTGGTAAGGGCCGTTTGAAAACAAAGCAACATTTGATGTGAACTCAAGATTCATGAAGGAATATATAGAATGTAGGTTTGCTTAAGAGCATCCTGTTACAAAATACAATGAATTCAGAAGATGATAAAGAAACCAGAACAATCGGTAGACCTTATGGTTTGACTGGCAGGAACCATGGACTGCCTACAGACCAATAAATAACACAAAGCAACAACAAACGTTCACTAAAAAACATGTTACAGTTGAACAGGACACAGTTTAGTTGGAGCAGCTGCCTTTTAAGTCCACGTCACACAGTAGAAAAAAGCTTTGCAGTATCACTGAGTTTGTGTTCTTCCTCCAATCTACTTTTTTTCAGATTGGCCCTTTTGACATTAGTGTATCCTACAAAAACAAGGTGAGGATTCTTCTCTCTGGCTCACTTCCAGTCGTTGTATAACACATTTACTTAAATAGCCATTGGTGTTATTTGGTTGCGGAAAAGTGCCTTTAGCCATTCACCCGGGTCCAAGAGAGGGGGATATTATTCCAATTCATATCAGACAACTAGCACTTATAGATCTTACAGTAACCAATTTAAACTTTCTTGCTGCTACTGCTTGACTTATTTGTGTTATTCTTTATGTCTAACACGTTTAAGCTCGGCTCTGATTTTGCTTTGATTTATTTTAGGAGGTCTCAGCCCAGTGGCGTAGCCATCATAGGGCCCAGGCCCACCCAGTTTACTCATTGGCCCACCCTAAGAAAGCTTCGGTGTAATTTTTTTATTATTCTTATAAAAAATGTATTCACTCATTGAGAATATCCAAGCATTCAAAGTGAAATTCAAGTGAACAAATATCGAGTTGAATTAATGTTGTATGTGTTTTGTCCTCTGAACCAAACTCATTTACGGTAACAACTGGTTGTTGGTTCCGGCGCGCGCCATAGTAACGTGAGAGAGGTAGAGAGCTGCCTGCAAATGATGGCTCAAAGTTCACTAATGAACTTTTTTTTTTTTTTTTAAACCCAGACTCCAAGAAAAGCCCCCACTGCCCTCATCTAGCAGCGATCCAGGGCCAGGCTCTCTGACTAGTCCGGAGACTGTTACAGCCGCTTGCTCCACGGCGCTAGCAGTGCTCCCTCCCGCTCCCGGTCGTCAGCATGAAGCAGGTGTAGGCTTACCCGCTGGTCTGTCTGCAATTGATGAACCGCCTTCACAGCCACAATTCAAGAAGTTCCCTTGCACTCTAAATCATGGGAAAGCAAGGTGCTTCTCATCGAGGTGGTATGGAGATTTTAAGTATGGTCGCGCTTTTCGGCAAAATGTGCAGACATTTCCCCAGCCCAGGAGCTGAAGGTGCATTTACGATGGATATGTAGACTGGAAGCACAGTGTAACTCGTTGGAGAGAAAAAAGCGAGGACCACTGCAAGTCCATGAGCAGGTTTGAATGCTACAACCGATTGTTGCTGTTAGTGCAATACAAGAGTAAATAACCCAATTTGTGTTCTGTGAAACTGAAAAGGATATGAGATGGTTTTTGTTACTTTTGTTGCAGTTGTAAATATGTCTTAAATGTAATGTAGGTTAACTTCCTGTGTTATTTAGATGCTTTTATTTTGAAGGCGAGTTTAGGCTGTTGACAGGAAGTTGTTGTTGCTATGGAAACAACGTGACGGAGAAAAGGAGCAGAGATTAATCTACATATAAAGAGGCACAAATTTGGTATTAACTATAATGTAAACATTAGGTTGTGTCCTAATTCGTTTGTATGCTGTTTTGTAGCTTTGCTGTGTGTTTACAGTTAACATTTGGTAGTATGATTCTAACACGAATGGAGCCTAAATGTATTTGTTATTTTTGTGTCTTTATAGCTCTTACGTTAATATTGGAGATTTCAATGAATTCATATCATCAGTCAAGTCTTCGACCATTATTCGGAGGGAAATGCTACAACGATGCTTGGCAATGGGCATTATTATATGTTATTCTTATAGGCCAGGCCTACCTTAAAGTCATTTTTCCCCCTGGAAAAAGCTGGCCCACCCTATTTTATACAGGCCCGCCCTATAGTACATTTCTGCCGCTACTGTCTCAACCTGCAGGGACAGATCCTGGCTTTTTAACCATGTGTGTGCCGTGTCTCTTCACTCGGATACACTTAACACAGCTCTGCTTCAGTAACACCAATCTTTTTTTATTTTTGAAAATGTGTAAGTACGCCTATAGAAAAACAACCTATATGCTCTTTGAATTATTCATGTGATTGGGTTGAGAAAAGAGCAGAAATGTGCAGTAACTCTGCAATTAGCACTGTCCATTCACTCAAATAAACTGAATTTATACATCATCAGTAACTCTAAATGAACATTAAAGTCTATTTGACATTTAACTATTTTGATTCAAGATTCAAATGCTTTAATCATATGAACACTGAACAGTAGCTTCAGGGTAGAAATGGCAATGAAAAGCTTAAGTCCCAAGCTCCTATAGTTATCGGACATAAAATAAATAACAATAGTGCAAGAAGAAACAGAGTAGAATAGATTAACGACTATTTGCTGCCTGAATGATGCATGTGTTTGTGTTTAGAAACAAAGCAGGAGTTTGCAGACCTTGCAGAGGTCAGCTCGGATCCCGGCTCTCAGGTCGAGTCCCGAGTAAAACCGGGACTCGGCTGAAAGTCCGCAGAGACCGGCACTATACACGAGGTACTGACGCACATCTGCGGAGGGATCCGTGTTGCAAGAGAAGAACAAGACATTCTTTTTACTGCGGCGTTTTAGGCTCTTTCTTCACCCTTTGCACAGCATGTCAAATACATTTCACTTTGTGAGGTATTTTAAAATGGTATTTGTTGCATCGTTGCAGTCTTTTACTTTGGCTGCAAAACACTTGTTTAGTTATTGTTAATAGTCGTAGAATGAGGAATATACATCAAATATAAGCTTTTAAAGTCGATGTTTATAATAAATATTGGTCGTACCTCGTAAGCTAAACAGATAACCTTTAACACTTTGTTTACAATGATCAATCCTGAACCTTTATTTAAAAATAATCTATGGTTTGGCCCTTTAATGCAACACATACAAGTTGAGTATTGTGCATTGCATTTATAATTTGTTAGTCCTTTTATTTGTCTTAGTTAGTCTAGTATTTTCCGTTTTAAATGTATAAAATCAGATATCGGGTGTCTTGGTTATTTAACGAAAGATGTCGCCAACGTCCGTGAATATAACTTGGCCTAAAATAGGTTTGTAATGATACTGGCATAGCTTGTATAAAACATGCAGCTTTTTTAGTGGCACTTAGTTCATACAAAGCACTTATTTTCTATTCATAACCATTCATGTATTTATTAAAACGGCCTACACTTCGTTAAAGATACTGCAGTTTGATGGTCTTTTTATTTTAGCCATTGGTTTAACGAAATCATATTCAACCGTTTTGAGTTTCCTTATATGTTATCTTATTGGTACTGTGTCATTTACTCCAGCAGATACGTTTAGAGGTGTAAGAAGTACTCAGATATCTCACTAAAGTCAAAGTAGAAATACACTCAAGTCCTGCATACAAAATCCTACTTTAGTAAAAGTACACAAATACATCAAAAATATACTATAGGTAGGCTACCAAAAGTACTTAGTTTGTGTATATGTTGTTTTATCTTATAATCTGAACATGTTAAGTATTTTTGTTTAATAAATGTATTAAAAAAGTACGATATTAGCTGCCAAAATAGCGGAGTAGAATACAAAGTATAGCATCAAATGGAAATACTCCAGTAAAGTACAAGTAGGCCTACTTGAGTAAACATACTTTAATACATTCCATTATTTTGCATGTTAAGTGCAACGTATACACGTTGAGTTCAACAGCTGGAAACAAAAGTTGAATAAAGTTTTCAACCTCCTGAGAGTGAGATTAACAAACCAACACAGGAAGAAACAAGAAAAGAAAAAGGAAAATGTGTTTTAAATATTTAGAAAAGAGGCCAAACATTAACTTGACTCCAAACAGATTTGATCCAGAAGTCGATGAGGAACTCCAGAAAGTGTTGCGTAAAACTCGTGCGTAATTTACATTAGACCTCCTCCTTCCGAGTCTTTTTATTAACGCACCTGAATCCCTTTTCTCTCCCTAGGATCCAAGAAATATCTCTGTCAGTCAGTTGTACAGCTTTCTGGATCAAACGCATTTCCACGCATTTATTTTAACAATCACATTTACGTTCGACAACTTTTTAGGGGATTTTTGACGGCGTCTTTTAAAGGCTTTTGAAATCATACATGCATTTCATTTGTGTGAAATCTAGAAAAGTGCACATCGCAGCAGGGTTGTATAAATCAGGTGAAATCTGTCTTTCAATAAAATTACACTTCCGTGGACTATACATGTTTTCCATTCCTGCACAGATTTGTCTGGAGCTTGTGTCTGGAGCTTTTGTGTGTGTGTGTGTGTGTGTGTGTGTGTGTGTGTGTGTGTGTGTGTGTGTGTGTGTGTGGTGTGTGTGTGTGTGTGTGTGTGTGTGTGTGTGTGTGTGTGTGTGTGTGTGTGTGTGTGTGTGTGTGTGTGTGTGTGTGTGTGTGTGTGTGCGTGTGCGTGTGTGTGAACTCTGAGTGGCCCGCTGCCCTCCCCCTGACCTCTGGGTTTACAGTAATCTCTGTTGATTGATCTGATTGATCGGATTTGGGGGGGGGGGGGGGAGATGAGGCAGTCGGGGAATGGTGCAAACAAACATTTGTTTATCCTTATGGCCTGCGGGCAGATACATAATCCAGATCTGGGTTTGTACTCTTATTATATAGGCATCACTTTCATGTTTGTGCAGCAGGCTAATGGAGATTTGAGTATAGCAGAAATGTTATTCAAATAAAACTGAGTTTAGATTCAATCAACATCAGGAGAGAGGGGGGGGAACATACTGTATGAGAGCCGAGTTTGTTCCCCCTCATTGAGGTGGGTTCAAGCTGAAAGTGCATTCAGATCATTATAGAGTAATAAAACTGCGCAATAATGACTTTATTTAACAGTAATCCTAGCCCTAAGGCGGATAGATCTTCCATAACGTTACAAAAGTAGGACAACTTGGTTATTAATCCATGGATGAAGTAATTAAAAAAACATGACATGGGCAATAAGAAGCAGACAGCTCCTTTAATCAAGTAAAAGGAATGTGTTACTGTAAATAAAGCATCGTATGCATTATTGCTGCAGTAGCATGTAAACATAATGTTAATATTGCAGCTGGTCAGGATTTTTATTATTTTTGATTTCTAATGACTATATCATGCATGTGTTCCTATTTGTGCATAAATGATGGACCTCAGGACTTAAACAACAGACTGAGGAAATAAAGGGGATCCTCTGTAAGCAAAAAGCAGCAATTACAAAAATGTAAAATGGTATGAAACATTATAATGTATCTATCTACTAGTTTTTCACCTTATGGCAATTTACAATGTGCATCACCTATAAAATAAATAATATAAGGTAGTGCAAAAGCGATAGCAGCAGTCTAAAATAATGAATGTTAAAATGACACAGTCATTCAGAAAAAAGTAAAAAAATCTGCTTTTTGGAGGGTTTTTAGTTGTGCACCATGAGGGTGAAAAAACACTGCAAAGGAGGACGAAAAAGTGTGTGTGTGTGTGTGTGTGTGTGTGTGTGTGTGTGTGTGTGGTGTGTGTGTGTGTGTGTGTGTGTGTGTGTGTGTGTGTGTGTGTGTGTGTGTGTGTGTGTGTGTGTGTGTGTGTGTGTGTGTGTGTGTGTGTGTGTGTGTGTGTGTGTGTGTGTGTGTGTGTGTGTGTGTTGCAGCAATCAGTCCCTCTTGTCTCGCTACTGAGTGCTGCGTCTGATTGACAGTCTCTATTCATCCCGTGTGAGATTAGGCCAGCTGAAAGGAGTAACGACCCGGCTATGTGCAGTAATTACGGCCGTGGATAAGAAAAATAAGAAAAAAAACACACACGGCAAAACTATAATTATATAATCCCGCTCAAAATCCTTTTTTCTTCCTCCTCCTGTTCTCCTCTGCAGTGTTTTCAGAGACGCTTCACCTGTAAGGAGGAAACTCCACCCGGTATTGTCAGTCACTCCTGCAGCTGACATGATTTCACAATCACAACAAACTGCAGGCTGCTCCATCAGCAGCAGGAAATAGCTGCTGTTAGAGGAAGATGGCTGTGTGCCTATAGGCTACAGTGAAGGATCGTAAATGAGATGGAAAACCGATAGTAACCTCTCCTTAAATGCTCTTTTTGATCCAGGAGATTCTGCAGGGTGCCATCCACGTTTCATATAAGACTTGAGGTGTTTGGAGAGGGGTTGGACAAAATAACAGAAACACCTGTTGACTCATCACGTTGTTCAACTCTCGTTGTCAGGATGTAATGTCATTGTAATCCATCCCTGAATAATAACAGGTTGTGATAAATATGAGTCGAGAGGCCCGATATCCTTTTTAGATTACAAGTGATATTTTTTTATGATATTGAATATTTGGATATTTTCTGCTACCACAAATAAAGGCAATTTTGAAAAACACTTATTTTTGTGATAATACAAATAATGATCGTGTTATGAAAAAGCATTTAGAGAAAGAAAAACATTCGAAATTCAGGACATTTTAACAAAGAACACATTTAGAAAAGTACCTTATACGACTGTAAAAGGGGACTAAACTACTTTTCTTTTTAGAAATAATATTAGAAATTACTTCCAATATGAATTGATTTGGCTTATACAGTATACGTTCAATGTAAATATATAAATTCAATTCAGTTTTTAATATTTAATATCTGTAACATTGTGAATTGTGTGCCCCATTATTGATTTAAAAGTGTGATATTTTAAACATGATTTGAACTTACTTGTGTTTCTTTGCTTTCCCATTGTTTTACAGAACTCAAGAGTTCGGCTGTAAAACTGAAATCTGAAAATGAGTCAATGTTATTTATTTTCAACACCTTTTAATATGTTCCTGTCTTTCTTCTTTTTATTCACTCACTTATATATATTTGTATTTACTTACCTGTCTTAACTTTTTATTTAATTTGACTGATTTGAAATGTGTTTAATTTGATTAATTGTCACTGTTCTATTTATTTATTTTTTAACCTGGAATGGTTTGTTTTAAGGAACAAAATATAATGGAAGGAAGATCATCGTCTCAAGTGCGACCCTGTATGATTGCACATGTCCTTCCATAAAACAAACATTACAACAAATAAATAAACAACATCTGAAAGTGAGAACAGTGTTTGGATGTTTCCCCGAATCGGAAGCGCACCACCATCGTCTCATGTCCTCGCGCCTGATCCCAAACTGCAGCGCGCTCATCGTCTTGTCAAAACGTGCCCAGCCGGCGGGCCAATCAGCGACGAGAGTGCGTAGGCAGGAAGTGACGTGAGAGGTTCCTGCCTCTGTAAAGTGTATTACGGTGTCACTACAAATATTCTCCACACACTAACATCTCTGCTGTAGTGTAGGCAGGGTGTTAGCGTGCGTAAAACCAACGATTAAAGCTGACTTTATTTGTGCGTAAATGTGTACTAAGAGTCCCGAATACTGAAGGGTTTTCAACACTACAAATATTTTCTTGTTGACAGAAGACCCCCTTCTATGTGGCCATTTAACCACCAACAACATGCACCCACGGATCCGCAGAGGCAGTGGATGTTACCGGGGCTGAAGTAACAGGCTGCTCGGGAAGCACCGGGAGAAACTTTTCCTGTGCCCGGTGAACTGTGACCATTTCTCTGGGTGCACCGCCTCCTCTCATTTTATTTATACGTGGGTGAGCAGTGTGTGTTCTTTTGTGGCACCTCCTCCATAGATCTGGTTGCGCCATGCATTTCTCCTGGCTACTATAGTAAGAGCACTTGCTCTGGTTTGGACTGCTCTGCGCGTCATGCCGCGACACCTGAATCTCACACCGGCTTCCAAACAGGAGTGCATGGTTTCCTTGTAACTGGATCTACTTTTGAATTTTTGGAGGCAGAAGAGGGCATGCAAAGCAGAACATTTGCAAAGAGGAGAAGAAAGTAAAAGACGAGGTGAGCAGCTACAGAAGGAGAGATTATATTCAGAGAGTAAAACTATTACTTGTAGATGTTCGATCAGACCACCACTATGGGCGATGGGAACCACCGCTGTGGACCCAACCCGCTGGACCGGATGGAGACGAAGTGCCGCGCCGAGATAGGGAGCCGGTCCCCGGTTCAGAGCTCCACCGACACCCCGGGGACCTCAGCGTCCACCCCGACGTCCTCCAGCGAAGACGGGCACGACAAACTTTTGGGAGTGGACCCTGACTACTGTCGGAGGATATTAGTAAGAGGTACGTGAACGCAACATTTAAAACGAATTCACAAACTGGGAGAGGTTTCAGGAAGTCCATAATTGTCCCAACAATATGCAGGCCTTCTGTAATTATAGGCTCAATAAAACTATAATTAAAATGACTGGACGTGCTGTTAAACATGAACCTGAATCTGGAGTTGTTAGATAATTAAAGCATTGTCAAAATGCTACTCTAAAATATCCTGAACTGAAATGAGGCAGATATTAAATGTAACCTAAAAGTGTCTGGACTGATGCTTGAATACAACACCCCTAAAGCCCCTGCTGTGGTAACAATGGGCGACTTTCACTTCCGTCATACCCAAATGACTGTAACACCACACCCGTATATCAATCCCAAAATAAAATCAGTAATTGCAGTGTATCATTTAATCAATTAAACGTATACAAACCTTATTTGGTACAGTCTGTATCTGATGTGACTTGTTTGTGTTCGTTTGAAAAGGAATTAGTCCGATTTAACAATCAAAACAATAGCTATGATAAGCATGTAATACATCTTTATTTTTAACACAGGTTGGAAATCATAATTGATATACAAACAGAGGGACATTTTCTGACTATAATCAGAGGACATTCCCCCCTGTAGGCTGTTACTGTAGAATTATTAACAAAGGAGCTGATGGTAATAAATAAAACATTAACAGCTCTCCATCGATAACCAGAAGCTGTGTGTGTGTGTGTGTGTGTGTGTGTGTGTGTGTGTGTGTGTGTGTGTGTGTGTGTGTGTGTGTGTGTGTGTGTGTGTGTGTGTGTGTGTGTGTGTGTGTGTGTGTGTGTGTGTGTGTGTGTGTGTGTGTGTGTGTGTGTGTGTGTGTGTGTGTGTGTGTGTGTGTTTGTGTGTGTGTAGTTTACTTGTCAGTAGCTGAATATCTTTGTGTGCCAACGTTATGTTAATGAACATCAGAATTATATTTTATTTAATATGAGTGCCCACGCCCTCCTGCAGGACTTCACCAAATTAAGATAACATCACTGCAGTCAGAGAATAAAATATAGGGATACAATTTGGTCATTTGTTCAAATTAATAATATATAATTAAAGAGTTTTATTGTAATAATACATGATTTTTATTGGAGTCACATTTTGAATCTAAATCATCTGAAATAATTTGTATTTATTTTACGTTTGAATTATGTTAAATTAAACTGGACAGTAGATGGCTGTTACATACTGCACGCTCACGTTATTTTTAAGCACGTAAACGGAAAGACCCAGCGAGGATCAGTCTAAATTAGATAATACAATTATTAAGCTATGAGACATATTTTGAATTCAGGCCATTTTCTACATGAAGGGTAACGCTCACTAATAACACAAAGTCAGCACGTTACAGGATTCCCTCCATTCAGAAATCCTATCCGTAAAAAAAAAGAGGATGCAATCTAAAATAACAACTTGTATTTTTGTGCAGTATTTTTGCAGCGTTGTGTGGTTGTTTGCTGCGGGCAGAATCAATATGTCGGCCTATCAGTCCTTAGTTATAGGCTGCATGTTGTGGATGTTATTGTTGCTGGCTGGTTAGATGGATCCTTTATTGAACGTAAACTCGTGCGTCGTCCTGTGCCAAACAGAAGAACCGTAACTCGTTTGAGGCTAAAGTTAATATAAAAACGCCAAATAAATACTATTATGAAGGCCACAGAATGTGCGAGGAGGAGAAGAAAAATTGCAGAAAGAAGGAAACAATTAAACGTGGATTTAGATTAATTTGTTGTTGCTTTTATCAGATTCGTCGTCAGTTCCAGAAAAAATATAAAAAGCAGGTTATATATATTTAGAAATATATCAATTTAAGGATTATTGGTGTACATGAGATTGCGCATTTCTTCACATGAGATCGTGGCCGGCATGTTTTCATAAACTGTGTTAAATATAGTGATTTATCATCGCTTCTGTGTTGAATCAATCGCCGGTTAAAGGGGAGAAATGTGGCCTGTATAAGGACCGGGATGTGGGCCTGGTTTTTTCTGAACATATTGTACATTACACGGAGAGGTGAGGCCCGCAGTGTCAGGATTTGTTTTTGAAGCCGGCTGTTCCACAGAGGCGGGGTCACCGAGAGGTCAGCAGGTCTGCGTAATGCCGCTGGTGCACCTCCTCTGCCTGCAAATGTTTCCATCACACTGTAAGCTGTTATTTATTTATTTCCCCTCCTCAAGCCAGGGAAGAACATTTTATACATGTAAATGTGTATATTTGGAGGGTTTAAAACATCTCTAACTTGCCTGGCGACACATTACACAAAGGCATAATCCGTGCGTAAAGATGGAGACCTCTCAGGCATGTTTCATTATATATCTTAGGCCTCTAGGCTAACCACACACTGAAGAATAACTGCCCCTGTGATTGAAATAACATTTTATTACACTACGGGGGTACTTACTGATTAAATTACTGCGTTTCATTAACTTTTTTATTTTCTCTGCTCTAGCAGAAGCAGCCCACATTCTTCTTTTTACGCATTAACTTTTCTCCCGCATCTGCTGTATGTCAGAACTTCATATTATTTTATATTTCCATGCTTTTAAATATAATTCAATGTAAGGGGAGATTTGCCTTTCATACTAATTTTGAATTCCATTTTTATAGCTAAAATTATATAAATGCACTCAGTTTATATCTGTTCCATATAGTTTTGGTACCTTTCCTATACAGAACTCTATAGATCAATCAGTTTTGTTTCATATTTAATTCAGTGCTCTTCATATTTTATTGGATTGCATATTTTATGACCTCAAAACCCTGGACAAAGAGGAGGTCTTGTCTGACCTGCGTTTCCATTCAATGTGATAAATACCAACAAATATTCCCGGCTACAGTGTAGCTAAAAGTAAACAGATTTAACGGGTATTTAAAACAATAAAATGTGTCCTTAACATATTTTATTAATTAGTGTCGACAATAACCTGGATCCAGGGCGGGGTGTATTGACCCTGACACATCCAGTATATAGGTTATATTATTATTTGTATTTACCAAAATCTACCTTTTAATATATGTTGGTTTCGTACACATTTAAACAAAAAATCTATTTAATTTGTATTTGTTTTATTCTACAGAAAATATTTTGGACAGATCGAAGCAATCATTAGACAATGTGTGACAAACGACCCCACTAGATACATATAAAAATGAATGTAGGCTACTATAACAAAAAAAACACCTGACCCTATAATAAACAAACACGTGTCATTGATGTTGTTGTCGTTGTTGATGGATACTGACGCACAGACTTTGAAAACAGTTGAAAAGTCAAACAGTTGAAAGTGAAACTGTTGATTGTCAATTATTTTCCATGCAGGGAAATAAAACTATGCCACCTTTAAGTGCACGACCACTCGTTGTAAAACACCGAATGGCCCTGAACACATATTTCTTGCTTTCAGTCACAGACAGCACTCAACACAAATCTCCTTTTATTTTTATCCCACTGTCTGCTTTTTCTTCTAATAAACCGTTCTTGCTGCAAACGCTTTTAAGATATACGCACGACCAGTGTTGAAAGTGTGCCGGTCCTACCCGGTCCTTAGTACCGGTAAGAGATTTCCAGGCGGTCCGGAAGACCAGGAAGAATTGACAGCTCCACCCGTGGAATTTATACTACGAAGGGAAGATATTTTGGTTTGGATTACTGGTCTGGGGGAAGCTCGCGAGTGTGTGTGTGTGTGTGCGTGTGTATACGTGTATGTGTGTTTGTGTATTTTTGCGTTTGTGCGTATTGTGTTTGTTTCCCGGGGGAAACACTCACGAGAAACACCGGCTGTTGTTATGCCTGCATTGACGTTAAGTTACTCCGTTCTCCGCTTGTAATTATGCGGTTACAAGCTTCAAAGTTGTATTTATCACCTGAATTTGCCGAAACAAGTTTAATATTCTGAAAGCCAAGACTTTGTTTGTTTAAAATCAAACAAAACACCCGAACCCCGAAAAAATAGTTTTTTGCGTAAATCCACGTTTATTTTGAAATGAGCCGTTGCGACTTCCGATTGATTTCGATAGAGCGGGTCACATATTGTCAAGTGTTTCTAATTTCTACCCCATAAAGGCATTACAAATGTGAAGTTTGTGTTCAGGGATGCATGAAGCTGGGGGCGGGAGGAGAACAATATGAACCAATGAAGGTCGGGGTAGCATTATAGTACCTGCAAGAAATTCAAACCACTTTCACCCCTGCGCACGACTGACGTAGCCTGCACCCACAGTCACGTGGAACAACATTGAGGGATTTAGCCGTTGTGTTTCAACATGAGGAACATCTCAACAACAAACATTAGGTTTTCCTGAAACTGGTACATTTATGTAATGGCAAGTATTTATTATGAGTTATTATATTTACAACGCTTTTGTAAATAGGCCTATGTAGATGTGACAAAAGGGCACAGATGTGTCATTAACACTCTCTTTTACCATTTTAAGCCATAAGCCTAACTGCTTATTAATCAGTTTGGCTACATGTAGGCCTATAAGCCACCTCAAAGAAACTTGTGTTTACCTTTTTTATAACCTACAACTGTAAAATAGCTTACCACTCATATTATATTTTGTTATAATGTCCTGAGTGTTTATATTCTGTAGCGGCGAAATTCTTAAGAGATAAACGTAAAAATGTAACTCCATCTTTAATGTGCATGTATTTCGATGATCCAATACCAAACAGTACAATACAGTTATTATATCCTGGAGTTTACTCCGGTAAATAACCATTTGCCATCTATTGTGGGTCAATCCCGCCACCCACTGTCTCCCAAAACCCCCTTCAAAATAAAAGCATATCATATAATCAAATCTCTACTACAAAAACGGCAAGAAAATCCACGTCTAACTGTTCGTTGTGTTCTTGTTCGCAGACGCTAAAGGCACCATCCGGGAGATCGTCCTGCCGAAGGGCCTTGACCTGGACCGGCCTAAGCGGACCCGGACCTCCTTCACGGCCGAGCAGCTGTACCGGCTGGAGCTCGAGTTCCAGCGGTGCCAGTACGTGGTGGGGCGCGAGCGCACCGAGCTCGCGAGGCAGCTGAACCTCTCTGAAACTCAGGTGAGGAAGAATTTACTCAAGTACTGTTCAGTACAATTGTGAGGTATTGAGTATTTACATTGTCGGCTTTACTTCTACTCCTTGAAAAGGGAAACACTGTAAATGTACTCCACTACATTTATTTAACTGCTTTAAATGCATCTCTCAGAATTAAACTAGTGGACGAACTCTTTAAGTCACATTATTTAAACATTTTCCAAAGAGTCAATCGGAACTTTGTTTGTCTACAACAGTAAAATGCTACTTAATGCAACAATGTGGAAATGTCACATAAATATATACACCCATAAAGGCACATATTTTAGGCCTACTCTTTACTTTAAATACAATTTGCTGACAATACTTTTGTGATTTAATTTAAGTAACATTTTGAATGCAGGATTATACTTGTAAGCATGTATTTTGACAATAATGTATTGGTATTTTGATTGGTCTTAAGTATGGAAAACCCATTGCTAAAAGCTCCACCAACAATGAAAACAAACATTACATTGACGTTTTTATAAAATCTATAACGAACATTGTTGATAATTACTTAGCAGAACAATTGTCACATAAGCTAAGCCATAGCCTCTGGTGGCTAAAGCCTTAAAGGATATCTTTACATTTGAGTTACAAAGTTTAGGTATGTTATTTATTGTCAAGCAAATTGTGTTAGTCATTTCGATTAAAAGTAGCCTAACTTTTGAAAAAAGTCACAGGTGTTTTGGGGTTCTTTAGTTGGTTCCTCAGCCAATCACAGAGGAGGATTAGAAGAGCTGCCACGTCCAAACACTCACGTGGCTTGTTCACAATCAGATTTTCAAATGCAAAAATTCTACCAAAAACATGTAAAATATCTATATCGGAGTAAAACGAGTCCTTGTATCTATGGCCTGATCATTTATGTAGCCCAGATATTTAAAGGAAAAATGTGAAAGGTTGTCAACATTTACTTTAAAATGATGTGTATATCTGGAAGGTATGACATAAAAGCAGAACGGTTACTCAATGCGTAATGGTTGCATTTGACTATCCTGAGCAGCAATGAGAACATCCAAAATAAATAAACAGAAGGGAAGCGAAATGAATACCTCATTACTTCCAGTGCAGCTCACAAAATCAGTATACACCATTTGCTGTGTGTGTTTTTGTATCGTAACAAGAAACGGTAATGCCCCGTGTTGTTGGTAGTGGATCGGCATGTCGGTACATCCGGGTTCTTCTGAACACTCCTGACATTTCATAGCAGCCATAAAGCCCCGCGCGCTTCATTTAAATCTGCTGCTCCACGAGCCCAACCCCTCTGTGTTTATTATGTGCGTCATCACTTATACACCAACTTGCATAGCACTGCAGTAACAGCGTGTTTATATTAAAGTCACTGTAACTCGTGCAGCAATTTTGGGGTTTTGTGCGTAAAATTAGTTTTTTCTTTGTTTATTTACAAATCACGAAAGGATATAAACTCCAGAACACTGTGTATTGGTGTTGTATGTTTCCTGTACATTTCAGATTGTTTATTGAGAGTCCATTCTGGGGGGAAAAAACACAACTATTGCTTATTTTATCCAAAGTGTCTATCGGCTATAATTTTAAAATGGGCATATGGGTCACTTAACTCTCCATCTGTTTTATATCCAACATAAACCTGTATGTTAACAACATATGACATCGTCTATAGGCTATTGATGCAGTATGGTCTCCAAATAAAGATTGAATAAGAAAAGTTGTGGATAATTACGCACTGCTTCGACGTCTAAATACGCCATTTCTTATAAAGCTATGGGGTGAGGCTACTGTTTATGTTTCAAAACGAAACAACTTCAAGCCACTAAATACATTTAAAGTATGTTTTGGTTATAACAATATTCAATTACGCGCCATGGGGATGGTTTTGTGTCTTTTATTGGCATTTAAATCCCCTCTTGTGTATACAAAACACTTGTTGCAGGAGCTTTACGCATCATCCCTCTGGAGTACACCCAACATTAATATCTAAGCACAAAAAAACACACTCACACATAAAGGGTCTGAGTGTGTGTTGGTGTGTGTGCGTTTACACGTTTGGGGAGCACAGAGCAGCCACTGTGTCCCTCATTAGCGCTGACACTAGGGGTGTTAATGGGAGGGCCTCCGCTTCCTGCTGCTGTGAGGCGACGCTGATTGGCTGAATGAAAAACTGCCTGACCTTCAAGTGAGAACAAAATGTAAATAATAAAAGTCTCCAGTCCTCGTAATGGTGTGAAATATTGAACCCATTAATTTTCTTAATTATATTGAAGCAGCTTCTACGCCTGATCGAAAGGCTTTTAGTTGGCATTATGTGTGGCGTTTGAATATTTCAGCATTCAAGGCAAATCATGCAAAAAGACATTAGGGAGCTCTCAAAGTTTTAGGACATTATTAAGCGAGTTTTCAGGTGAATTACATTGTGTTTGTTTCCATTATAAGAGCGTTTTAGCTTTTTTCTTCTTACTTTGTTTCATTTGAATCTATCATCCATCTATTTATCCCTGCAAACAAAAAGTATAGGCTTATTTCAAAGTTAAACAAAAGGCATTGGAATATGAACAAGTCGTGTTTTTGGCATATTTCCATTTGTTTTTTACAGCACAAAGCTTTTCTCGCATTTGATGTGATCATAGATTCAGGTAGTGCAATCGAAATATATAAATATAAAATATAAACGAAATATAAACGTGAGAAAATTAGGATTTGATTTCTGTTAAACATTTAATCAGATTTGTTTGTCTGCCACGAATATTGAACCTATTTCATTCACAGTAATATAAAGAAAAATTATCGAATTTTGTTTATCATTGTTCCAAAAACCCAGGTTGTAACCATCTGCCAAATTCATATTCTCTCTAGTTTTCAAACAAAAAACTTGTTTCAGAAACATTAATTCCCAAAACACGATTAAAGCGTTATCACACACTGTTTTTTTAACGTGACAGGCCTTTTTATTTGTATCTGTTCCTAAAACACAAATACTAATTACAGTAATATGAGGTTAGATCGTTAAATGTTTTTTTAACAATGTTTAGGGATTTGGTCATTGACCCATGATGTCACTCCAATTAGTTTGGTCAGGTATTCGAACTGATCACGCAATGAGGCAACACACACACACACACACACACACACACACACACACACACACACACACACACACACACACACAGGCCTAATGGGACAGAGTGCTCATCTAATTATAGAAAACTATTTGTTCAAATGCATGATGATTGACAATGCGATTATTATAAATAATTCCATTAATGTGTCTCCAAAAAAAACAAGCAGATAACTTACTAAACAAATGAAAGTTTACTTTAAAAAAAAAAAAGCATACTATTTCCAAATGTATGTCTGGTGATTTTGACGTAACGTGTGATAGATCGTGTGTCATCCAATTTGGATACCACGTAGGCCTACTTTGCGCATTTCTTTCACCAAAACTACACAATAAGAGTAGGCTAAAACAAGAAAACAGCTTAATAAAAGCCTATGAAAAGCGTCGAGGCCTACAATTGGATGGCGTCTTATTGTTCCAATCCGCCGTTAACAATTTCAAGATATTTAAATTACGTTAAACTTCATATATTCACTTTCTCCTTCATCCACCAAAACCGTAAGTTGTAATGAGTCAACCGCGAATATCGTATACTTGTACTTTACAAGGGTATTTCCATTTCCTGCTACACATACTTTTACTCCACTACATTTTGGTGACAATTGTTGTAGCCTACTTTTTACTCCAGTAGGCCTATGTTTCTAAAACACGCATAGTTACTAGCTACTTAGGCTACATGAAAACGCGATGTGATACAATACATTAATTATACACAGTATTTAAAACAAAAATGTCTAAAGACGAACGACTAACAATAAAATGACTTGACATATGTTTCCTTTTAAAAACATAGCATTATTATCCTGCAACACTGTTATTAAAAAGGAGCTAGTCGGTATACTCAGCATTTTTACTTTAGATAGGCTACACGAAGTTTCAATATTTTAAGACCACATTAATTCTACTTTTACTCCAGTAAAGAGCCTCGGGTTTTCTTCCACCTTTGATTAAATCCCGTCTGAATTTAATGAAACAGAAACGCCGCTCTAGGATGATTCCTTCATATTCTGATATTTGACACTTAAACGCATCCATAACCATGCGCAAATAAACGTATTTTGCGGTATTAGTATAGCTGCAGCATCGCGAGAATGAAACGTACATCTCGTTCACACTGCTGAAGTAACGCGTTACCGAGTAACCCGGCAGGTGGCTCCCCGCTAGCGGAACACAGCAGGAGGGAAGGAACACACAGAAACCGTAACCTAAAACAACGAAAGCCTCTTCATTTCTGGTCAGTTTACTGGTGGATTTTCACAGATAGCACATGGATGATCTGGGATTCTTCAGCTCTTATTGTGAAGGTATGTGGAGGAGGATCATGGGGTTAATTAAGATGTGTTACTGTAAACGAGCACAGAGAAAGCTTTACTTGCTGTTTTATTTGTGCTGACTTTTTTGAGTAAATATGAGCTTTGTGCTCCATATTTGTTGAGATTTGGTGATTCCTCCCATCTTCTTGACATACTCTTGGATGATTTGTGTGACTTCAGGAGATTTTAGCTCACTTTAAGCTCTTCCTCGGTGTGCTGAGTTTGAGTGCAGAGGACATATACTCTGCCATTGTATCAGCCCATTGTTGTTTGCAGCTCTTCCATGGAGAAGCAATGGGTTTAATGGTGTCTGGGCTGGGGCTTAATCATGCAGCAACTGGGACGGAGCTCAGTGATGGAATCATGTTTAATCTTTAATGTAAAGATGAGTGCACGCCGCACAGATGTGAGCTTCGTTTGAATACCATTCCCATAACAATGTCCATGCCAAGACCAAAAACGTCCTATAATGATGGATTTTTACTATGTAGTGTTCTTATTGTGTCTTAGAAAGTGTAAAACTTAAAAATGATGCTTCTGGTATATTTGTTTAGCTTCTGGCAACAGAGGGA